CCAGCGCTCATATCAATTTGGGGAATTGGAAATGACGAAGGCTCGTTTCAAAATAGAAAAACACAAGTGCGTGAAATCATCGTGGAGAGATTTTCAGAGAGGATTCTATCGATCGTACCGAGACCATTCAACATATCTGTCAACGAGCAGTTTTGGTTTGACCACAGGAGAACCCAATAAAAGAATTACTGTAGAAAACTATACAGATCAAATTGTCAGAGTAATTTGAAGACCCCAGGTTTCGAAAGCCTGTGTTGTCGGCGTCGGCGACTGATTCCCGCTGGTAGATTTGCGCGTGCGCCTTTCGCAATGGTCTCGCCACGCGTCAGTGTTCATTTTGTCAGTTTTGCGTGAACTTTTTATTTTTCGATGTGTTTGTCATTTCACTAAATTTCGGCGTATAGCAGTCAAAAGACGCCGAATGTATGCCAGTTAGTAATTTAGTATAGTCGGCGTCCGGTGACTGCTGTACGCGGGAAGATTTACACGCGATTGGCATTTCGTGGAATTTCTAACGTCGTTTGTTCGATTTAAAAATTATCTAACCGACCCATAAAATTCGAAATAACAAGTTAGTCCGTGCGAGACCAAGAGAAAGACGCATCCGCGTAAATCTACCCGCGTACAACAGTCGTCGGACGCCGACTATATTTATTTATTTATTTATTTATTTATTTATTTATTTATTTATTCAGCACATCGACTTAAAAAATAAACAAAAACATAATCATCAAAACGGTTAGGAAAAATGTTTAATATTTAAGAATCAGGAGCCCAATTAAAATGTTTAAAATCTTTCAAAAATTTTTTATTAAAATCGCGAAAAAACGAGCGCCCTGTGTTGATTTACGGCGAGTTTGATTCACAGGTTATTTATAGAGTACCGCCTACGAATTGCCACAGTTTTAATCGAAATTTGAATTACCGCCTCGAAAACGTGAAAATGGTTCGCAAAAACTCGGAGTGCTTATTTTTGCGATAGTAATATGTAGTAAGGTGCTTGCATCTGCGGACAATATCGATCTAGTCGCACCCATCAATAATATCACTTAAATTTTCTTTGTGTGAATAAAACTAGATATACCTTTTCTCGGTCGCATTTCTCTTGGATATTTGACTGATGCAGCTTTTTGCTTCAACATTGTTCGTCCTGAAACCAGAATATTCAAGCATATCTAATTAGGTAAAAAGACGAAGAAGGAGAAACATATAATTTGTGGGGAAAAATCGCGCGGTCCGTGAATCTAGTGTTTCGAATAATTCATTTATAATTCTTGTTTACTTCTTCAGTTTCTTTTTTTTTGGATTTCTTTTCTGTCGCGAAACTTTGCCAGCCAGCACTTGTCAAATGCCATTTTCATTAAATTGATCAGAAGGTTCGAAAATCTATAGCCTATAATTAGATATGAGGTGATTATGAATATTCTCAAGGATTAAGAAAGCTCAACAATTAGTCATGCCATTATAAAACAAAAAAAATGAAAGAAATGCAACGATTTATCTGAAACTTGGTACGAAATGGGCTCATTCGGAAGAATGCCATATGATTGCGTCACGTTTTTTTTCTCATGGTCCGCTCAAGCAACAATTCGGTTCTTAAAAGGTTTCCTGATTCTTTCTTTGATTTGCAGGATTTGAGTATTTTATTTTTTTAAGACTAATATTCGAGAGAACAATTACCATCATCAATTAAGGCGAAACATTTATGAAAAGAATATAAGTGAAATAGAAATGTTAGGGGCAAATTGTTGGCAGATAAATTTCATAAATTCCTACAACAGCAAAATAGAGCAATTTTTTGCTTCGTAGATGATTAATTTCATCCGACTGACTAACCATTTTTAAGCAGTGTCTAGAAGAAAAGGCATAAGAAAATTATTGGAAAACAAAAAAGACCTAATATAAGATTAACGAAACGAGCAGAAAATGAATGGAAACTGAATCACACTCTTGGATTAATAATAATTGTTCAATGGATGAATAAATGAGAAAGTAAACGAATAAAAGTGGGAACGATGCCAACAAACAGCGGATTCGATGTTTGTCGTTTTATATACCTGGACGTCTCGTCAAAAATTACACGCAATCTTGGCTGACTGTGACGTGCGAGCAATATCAGCAAGTTTTAAGCGTCCGAAGATCGATATTCGCTTTTTAATGAAATATTCAGTAAGATGATATCAATCATTTTGTGAGACGAAAATTAAGTTTTGCTCTTTGATGGTATATAATTATGTTCGTTTAAAGGATGACAACCCATTATTGGAATCGAATTTCGTTGCGTTCTCCAATTTGAGAATGAATTGAGCTATTTAGAACGAATAATTTATTTTTTTTTTTGCCAAAATAATCAAATAAAAATTTAATCTGATTTCACGCGACATTTTAATCATTTTTAACATGCGAATTTAAGGATCCTATGCGGAAAATATTTCAAGTTTGTTTTTTTCGTTCAAAACTTTTCACATTTTTACTTATACATCTGAATTTTATTTAAGTTTTTAATTGAAAATTTGTTGATCAAGATAAAAAATGTTGCCAACTGGACACTGTTATTTCATTTGGGTAGATTTACAAACATGCGCCTTTAAAAATTGGGAGCCATTTTACTAATTTCATTCAAACGAAACGTACGCCCATAAATTTGCTCAAGTCACTTGTTGTTGGGAGGCATGGAAATAAATAATGAGATATGCAAATACAAATAACGGACCTCATCTAAAAAAAACGTATTCTACCAGAATCTGAACAAAATGTATTCAATCATAGAGAAAAAATTGAAGAAGTGAGATCCTAAATATTCTTTATTTAATAACTTTTAGTGAATATTCTACACTTCAAAGTTTAAAATTGTTCATTTTCAGCTATTTTTGTCTGCACACGCGGAAAAATAAACGAAAAACCGGAAGTGAGAAAAAAAGTAGGAAAAAATACATAAGGAAATCTATGATCGCATTAATTCGAGACATATGTATGCGTGTGCTGCTACTGCAATCTGAGAACATTTCTTATTAATTCCACCCACAAGAATGGACCACCCAATAACAAATTAATCGAAAATTTAACACTGATGGCCTAGATATTTTAGAATGGAATAGGATGAACTAATATTTGAAAATCGCTGGTGACTGTTGGCAGTAGTTAGCAATAAACCGAAAAGTTTTTTGCGTTATTTTCAAAAATGGACGTATTCGAGAAAGTTGCGAAATTCGAAAAAGATAATTTAGAAATAAAACGCATTTAATTAAAAAAAAACTTAATTCCACAAATTTATGAAGCTAAAAGTGTTATACTTCGTGAATTTGGAGTGTCGTTGCTGTTTTGTTGGAGGCGGGACGATTTTCAAAACATTTTTCACGAATATGAAAGCTACCATACCAGAAATTTCGAAGCGAATTCGAAAATATACAAAAAACCAATAGGGGTACGCCAAAAATTTTACAATCATATCCGCAAAAAAATGGCGTGACCGCAATTTTGAGAAATAATTTCAATAAACGAAACTTGAAGCGAATATCGAAAAAATGATCGCCGAAAGGGTCTGTGTGATTTCAGTGAATGTTTTTGATTTCGGCGAAAAATCTCAAGGGAAAAAATCACGATTGTTGCTGTATGTTTTCGTGTTTTTCTTTAAATTTTCTATATATATATATATATACCCGCGCGTATAAACGTCTTCTTGATATTTTTAATCGTCTCTATTTTCATTTTTCGTTCTAAACCGACGCTAAACAAAATTAATTATCTTGTCGCATTAATACATGATTATTTTTGTGTGTTAAACAAAATGAAACCGAGTGAAAAATGATCGAGAAAGTAATGTCTAGAAGGATGATGTTGAACAAATCGAATTGCGCCGAAACGAGCCGAATTTCAACTCGCGCGGAAATTCAAATAATTTTCGAATCGTCAAGAATCACAGCACTTCATACTCAGATTCAAGTTTCAAGTGCGTCTCCGACAATGTATTTTTTTTCAAAACTCAAGGGTCACCCTTCGAATTGTGGATTTTAAACGAAAACGGCTTGTGGTTTCGAAGGCAAATATCACGGCAAAGTCGAACAGAGTCTGCACTTTCAGCTGTCTTTAGGCAGCTTCTAATGTCGGCTGAAAGTCTGTGCGAAGTTAAAATTGCAAAGAAGAATATCATTGCGGTCGAATTACCCTGCCATTTTGGGCTTTCGTTAAAGACCATTGGAAAATGTGTCTTTTTTTTTAAATATTTTTCATTGCTCGATTTGATGGGTGCGACTAGAAAAAATTGCATGAATTAGTCCGTAAGTTTTTTTCCTTTTCTGCTGCATTGAAATTTTATATTTTTCTACGGCGGGGAACAGTGAGCTTAAACCGAATTCGGAGAAAAGAAATCTCTCCGTCTGTCGAAATCACTATTTTCTCAACTGTTTCCACGATCACCACAATTTACTAACATGAATTCGACATTTAAAAAACTAAGACGACCTTACGACTCGAGGAAAAATAATCTTCCGAAAATTTAAACCATTTCCTTTTCGTTATTTTCTCCAAATCTTGGCAATCAACATTTCGATGAAGATTCCCGACGGCCGTAAAGCTTAACCCTAGACCTCTTCTCAATAATCAAATTACGATGTTCATTACAAAAAAACATTCTGAATTCATAAAAATTCAATTGAGCAATTATCCCAACTATGAACACCCAATTTAATACATATAAAGACAGTCACAAAATTTATAGAAAAGGGCAAATTAATTACTCATCTCAAAAGGGGAAAAGGCATTTAGTGAAAGTTGGAAAGTGAGCGTTGTGTGGATGGATAGACACAACATAAAAGACAACCGTTGATAATTTATTCTCTCGGATTGTAACAAGAACAATAGTACGAACATACAACAAACGGAAGAATTTGTCGATATTCGACGAAAACTATGTGAATGGAAGTAAAACCGATTACTCGGAAAAACGATCAAACACATTTCGATGGTGGATGGTTGATTGATGTTCGAAAATAATATTTTCTTTAGTTCTTAGCAGTGGAGACCTTGAATCCAAGAATGGCTTCCTCCTTGCATGCAGAGACGACTTGGACCTAACAATAATACGATAAAATTGTATATAGAGGCTCTTTAATACCAAGACATCACCCTCGTTCTTGTCGAGAGCTTCCTTGATTTGCTGGCTAAGTTCTCCTTCTGGAAGACGAAGATCGTCCTTGGTTTCGCACGACTCGGGGTCCATCAATGAGCAGAAACCATCATCCTCAATTCCGATGACCTAAACATAAAATCTCAGTTCTTTAAAATTATGTCTGAACAAAAAAAAAATAAAATTCGTAATCCCCATTTCAGCTGTCTTATTAATATATAAAGCATACCAAGAATTCCTTGCGCTTGACGACTGGGACATCCATGTTGTGGGTGGATGGACAGATATCCTCAAGCTTCTAAAAGACATTTTTTTTAATTTTAATTATTTGTAATATACCTTTCCAGTGAAAATATCGAGAGCGACCAAGTGAACCTTAGCGTGACCGTGCTTTCCGGTCTTAGAGGTCGACATTTCGACGATCTGAAGATAATTTGTTAGAGGTGGTATTTTTATAATTACCCACCTTGCACGGGCGACCCTTGATCATAACATGTTCGTTCTTACGGAGAGCAGAGCACTGCTTTGGGAAAGTCTCAGCGGCCCCAGACTCAGCAGCCTCGAATTGATGGTCATCATCATGATGCTCTCCCGACATATTGGTACCCTGAAGTGAAAATAGAGAAATTTTTAGAAAAAATCCGAACTTTAACAACTATTTTCTGAGAAAATAAGGAGAAAACACAAAACAAAGTACATGTTTGCGGTTATCAATGAAACTGAAAAAATAGGTGATTATAGGTATTTTTGTTCAACAATCAGGCATGAAACGTGGTGGAAAAATTGTATAACTGCGTATCTTCCTGTGGTTAACAGCTGCTGCGAAGCGAAATGCATCGCGTGTAAGAACATTGCAATGGAGCGACAATGCTACAAAGGACAGTGCAATGAAATAAAACATTTTTTTGAACTTGAAATTATTGCACTATTTACCAATTGAACGTGATGGAATTATCTAAAAAAATCATTTTCACATTTCACAAAATTGATTAATAGTGATGAAAACATCTAATCTTAGTCGCGAAGGGAATTCCAAAACATCGAACAACCAGCCTGACGATTCATGCTTATATACGGTGAATGTAATCTAAGATATATATGTTTAACAAATTTTTAGTTAGTATATAAGGCTGTGAATAAATATTTGACAGAAGATAGCATTAAACCTCAAAAACTAAGCATTATTTCTGGTCAATCAGCAGAAACCAACTATATTGCAATAACAGTAGAAGAAATATCTAAGGAAAAGTCGCTAAAACTAGTTATTTGAATTTTGAAAGTGTTTTCTAAATTTTGTTCTCCTAGGCAAGAACACAGTACTTTGAGGCGGCGTATGATGAAGCTGAGCACAGAAAAAATGTCCATAAAGCTTGTCAACAAGCGAGAAAATTCTTCTACGAGGTTTGGAAATCTAAAATGACAATGAAAAAACATAATATTAAAAATTTGGGAGAGAAAGAAAAGTTTAGGATCTTCAAAAAATAGGCCGAAATTCGAGAATCCTAATTTTTTGTGTTTACGGACTTTTGGGATTACGGTGGCGGCATAAATGCATTTTATTTTACGACAAATTTTCTATTTTTTTTATTTTTAGCATATTCTCAATCGTAATCCATTTCCACCGAGAAAGAAGTTTAATATGAATGTTGCTATAAATCGTGAAAGATTGTTGCAACGGTCGGAACTTAGTGAATCAATAACGGCGAGCTCAATGGCTTCATGTATGTTCGTGGAAAACTTCAAAAATCTTTTTTTTTTTCAAGCGGGACTTCGTCGAATTGATTCAACCACTTCTCTCACATGCCTTCATACGGCTCCGAGCTCTTCTGCTATTTCAATCGGGCCAAAAATGTCGGAGATTAAGAGGAATTCCTCACTCCACGTTAGCATTCCTCAGAAATTAGAACACTTTGTTGTTTTAGGAAATTTTCAGCAAAAGCAAGAAAAAACCTCGCGTGCCGAATTCGATTTTGACTCATGCAAAACCAATGGCGGATAAGTCTCGAAAAATCGCGAGTCCGCCGGTATCGAGACCTTCAAGCTCGATCTCATCGGTGACAACATCAGAAGAACGAAGACTAATGAACGCAATGTCAAATCCGGAATGAAAATAAATTATTGTTTTATTAATGGAGAGAAAATAAGGAAAAGGAATGGAAAATAATCTTATCTACAATGAACAACCCAGACTAGTGCACGTTGAAAAAAAAGAAAGAAAAACTCCTGATAAGTGGAAAACAACAATCAGTAGAAAGCTTTAGTTCTAATAAATAACTGAAAATACCGGTAACTTGGATAGGGAGAAGTTGAAATGCTAGCGAATAATTTAGTCAAATTCCTCATAAATCCTCTTTTTCTTGTTCATTTTTCCTCTGCTGTTCTGTGAAAAAATGCCGTTTCCTTCGTTTAGTTGGCAATTCTATCGCAGCCACTTGAAGCGGCCATCCTCCGCCGATCACTCCTGCTTGAACGGCGGCACCGGTAACAACAGCCAATTCTGGATCAATTCCGTAGTTTGGCGATTTCCTGGAAACCAAACATTTCCTGTTTTCAATTTTGAATAAGAGAAATTACCCAAAATATCTTCCAACGAGTTTTCGGACGGCTGGAACTTGCGTTGATCCGCCAACAAGCACGATTTCATCGACGTCACTTGGTTGTTTTCTGACATTGAAAAAATTGATTCTTGTGAAATTGTTTCACTAATATTGTCGAAGACCAACATATTGCGAGGCGGCTCGTTTAAATACGAAAATTTGGGATTTCTGGCTAATAATAAAATAAATATTAGACAAAAAATATTTAAATTTCCTAGAGTTACCAGTGTTCGAAAAATATTATTTTTGTTTTATTGTTGAAAATTCTTACCCTGAATCCTTCAATGCTGCAGCTATTGGAAGCTCAATAGCATTCAGAAGATCAGCATTCAATTCTTCAAATTCATCTCGATTCAAAACGTATTGGAATTTGCCAACTGTTTTTAGATTCAACGAGATTGTCGACTGAAACATTAAAATAAAATGGTTCTTCCAGATTTTCAAATACTCTTGGAATGCTTGTCAACTCAATTTTAGCCCGTTCAATTTCCATTCGAATCTGCTGAATGTCTTCTTTGTCTTCGATCGGTTTTCCAAACTCGACTTCAATCTTTTTGATAAGGAATTTTTGAATGCGATCGTTTAAATCTTGACCACCCAAACGATTGTTACCGGCCTTCGATTGTGTCACAAAAACGCCTCCTTGAAGCCAAAGAACTGAGACATCCAAAGTGCCACCGCCTGTAATCAGAGGTATAATGGAAACATTTGAGAAAAACCATACCAAAATCTACGACAACCACATTTTCAACACCGCTCTTTTTGTGAAGACCATAAGCCAATGAAGCAGCGGTTGGTTCAGAGATGACACGGCGGATATTCATTCCTCAAAATTTCAATTTAGTGCAAATATTTTGTTATTGCTAAAAACCTGCCAGTTTTGCAGCTTTGATTGTCGCATTTCTTTGTTTTTCTCCAAATTCTGCCGGAACCGAAATGACTGCCTAAATTCAAGAAAGTTTTCTAAAATTTACCAATGTGCGATACCTCAGCTAATGTTGCTCCAGCGGCCTTTTCAGCACATTTCTTGAGATATTCGATGATAAGACCACCGACATCTTCTGGATACAAAACTCTAAAAGTCGAATATTTATACTTTGCCTATCGTTATATTATAATCTACTTGGTTTCTGAGTCTAATGGGATTTCGAAAAAGGCGGAACCATGCTCATCCAGTTTAATTGTGAATGGGTACCTTTTTTTATCCGCCTGAAATGCCAATTTAAATTCATTTCAGTTAAAAAGATAATTACCAAAAAATCTTTGTTGTCTTTCTCATAAGTCCTTCCTATGAATCGCTTAGCATCATATATTGTTCGTTTTGGATTATGCTCTTGTTGTTCAACAGCTCTTGTGCCAATAATAACTGTTCCATTCGGTCTAAACTCGCAAATAATCTGATATTTTAACACGAAATTTCACTTACAGAAATGCGACAACACTCGGAACAGATTTTTTTCCAACTTCATCAGGTATAATTAATGTTTCACCCGTAACGGCATGATATAACCCTTCAAAAACTCACAAATTACCACAAAAAAAAACAAGAACAATTTTGTATACGAACCAATTGACGAATATGTGGTTCCTAAATCGATTCCAGCAATTTTTGGCTTCGGAGGTGGCAACCCATATTTTTGTGTGATATATCCAGCAAGTAATAACCCAAGGATTGCAACACCTAAATAATTCGAATTAATCTTCAATAGAAAATAGTTTTAATTACCTATATATGACGAAGATGATGACATATTTAAATCATAGATAGGTTAAATTCCTACAATATCTACCTTCATACAATATTTAAAAACTATATTGTGGATTTTGAGCCGAAATCCAGAAAATTGAAATACTTAAAAATGGTACACGTGTGGTTGACCGAAATGGGGCAAACGCGCTCCATTGGTGATATGCAGCCTGTAGGAGCACTTACAATATATTGTTTGAATCTTCAAGAACAAAGTATTAGGCATTAACGAAGATAAAACTATTGGAAATGTTTGAAACTAGAAAATATTATCTGGCATTCCTAATTAATACGTTTTATCAAAAGTTTCATAAAACCTATAGTTCAAGCGACTCAGAAATGTTTCACATGGAATTTTATTGACTTTTTTGCAGATATAAATAATAAAATTTAAAGTTACCATCGCAAAAAACGAGCGCCTTTCATAATTGTAGCCCATCGCATCTTTTCGAGGCGATAATTCAAATTAGAATTTAAACAATGGGACTTCGGCTACCGTACTGGATAACCTGCGAATCAAACTCACCGTAAATCGGCGCAGGGTGCTCGTTTTTTTCGAATGTAATAAACAATAAGGACTTTCATGTTAAAATCCGAATCCAGTTGATTACAAAAAAATGTGGATGTTTGCACGGTTACGCCTAATTGCACATCTTTTAACTACAGTAATTCTATATAGTCCAAAATCAACAAATTTCTGAATATCGATATTGGAAATTTCTTGAAGAATTTTTCTTTTTTTATTGCGATTTTTGTATAAATGGAAAACACACAAGTTTCCGCCGCTTTGGAAAAACAACAAGTTAGTTCTATTTTATTGCCACGCCACAGTTTTTTTTTTTGTATAAATTGCTCCCACGAGTTTGCCGAGATCATAGCGGTAATATCGTTAAAAAAAAACATCAGGCTCTAAAAATTTTTGGATTTATTTTTTCTAGGTATTTTATTTAAAAAACAAACGTAGATGAGAGTGTTTGTCGCTCGTTGCAGTCTGTTTCCATTCGTCATCATCATCCTAAAAACATTTAAACGCTTTCCAATATAACATTTTATTCAGAATGCAATATACAGGAATTATTTTCAATAAAAATCCCACCATATTAGGCGTTCCTTTTTCTATTCAGAGTTCGCTAACCGTTCGATAAGATAACAAAATACGTGGCTCATACTACTTTTTGTTTGTTCAGTTCGATATACCAGCTGGCCGTTGAACTCTTTATTTGTCTCAAATTGGTCAATTATTATCCTCCATTTGGCGCTTGGGCTCCAAGAACTCCAACTCCGCTGTTGACACCAACAAGCGATTTGCGCGGCTCATACTGCGGCGCCTTGATGAATCCCCACTGAAATCATCATCCTCATACATTTTTTGAACTCATTTCGACAAACTCGAATTCCTTGATAATAATGCCAAGCTTTCGATGGCATTATCAAATCCTTGTTTCCATCGTAATCGTTCAGCGAATGTTGCTCGCCCTGAAAAACCAACGCAATCGATGATGCCGTTTTTTTCCCAACGAATCATCATTTTCGGTGAACGTTTTGAAGAAACACGACGCACAAAAATTTTGGCGAGAACAACACAAAAAAATTTCGTAGCGCCGTAAAACATTATGCATATTTGTGTACGTGGAGCAGACCAACACGACAGTCTCCACCTCCTTATGGGAAAAAAATGATCGTGAACCCCCCTGATCATCATTCCTCGCTTCATAGCATCGCATGGAGCGGGCGGTCGGGCGGTCGACTTCTCCTTCTACCTCAGCGGGGGGGCTCCTCTTCCGCCACAATACACATATGATTTCTATTATTGCCCGAGTCCAATATTGGTATTATTGGAACAACTACTGTAGCAAATGGGTTTGTATGATTGAACAGCTTTTCAACAATGGGCAACGCTGCGTCTCGCAGAACCATGCGCTGATTGCACAACTGCTCGACGGCCTATAAATGGATGCAGTGGGCTCAACACTCGCCATTTCCTGTCGTCCGCATCTCCCCCAGCAGCATTCTGCCGGCTACCGAGTATAAGTAGTGGTGCCGCAGGTAAACCGATGAATGGTCTTACCTGACAGTTCACTACTTAACCTCGAAATGCAAGGCTCATTTTCCATTCGTTAATATTGAATTGCAGACTGACTCACCTGTCTTGGAAAGATTGCTTCGGAGAATGGCGGAAGACGACCGGCTGGACCGGACTCGTCGAGACCAACGCTTACTCCAGTGCCGACGCTCACTGGATCGTTGCCGGGAACACCAACGCCAACACCAAATCCGACTCCTGTGAGAGTCATTGTTGAAAATACATATTTCAGAATGAAATAAATAACTTCCAACAATCACATGGATGATAAGTTTGAAGACATTTTTTTAAATATCGGTTGATTGAACGTATATGATCCATTTTCTTCAAAAAAAAAACTAAAGCATCATTTTAATTTTTCGCAAGACCATTATATTTTCGGATATCGAAGTGAATAAATATGATATTTGAATAATTACTTTCAAAAATTGATACTAGCACTTTTAAAATAAAGCTTCGAACAGGGTTTTGTATACGTGTCACTTTTATTTTTTTTTTCTCTCCAAAAATCGAATCGATTCGCTCGCTCAACTGTATACGAATCCATTTTCTTGAGACGCCAAAAAATATTTGAATCACAATACGATCACATTATTCTCGGCAGTTTATGATTGAATTGATAATAATTCTTGAGAAACTGGTACGTCTTTTTATGACGCTGGTATACGATTTTTATGAGAGACTTGCATGATATTTGGCGAATGTGAGCTATAAGGAAATTTTGTTGAGAAAATATTAAAAAATTAATTTGAAAATTTTTGACGGATTGAAGCAAACGAAATTCCATTCCCAGCGAAATGTGCTATTTTAAAAATTTTGCTTTTGATTTCATGAAAAAGAACAAATAAAATATTTTTCTTGGTCCAACTAACCAACTGTTCCAATATCCTTTAGTAATCCATTGTGGTATGGATCAGGAGGTAATTGTGTCGTCGTAATTCCGGATAATGCGTCATTCACAGATTTCGATAACTCGGATTCTTTCTGAATTTCGGATTTTCGTTCCTGAAAATTGCATATTGGGATATCCATTGAGTTACGAGTTGATTGGACTCGACCGATCCGGTTGATCCAGCTCGCTTAATTTTGGCACTATGCAAATTTTGGAAAAATTTCAATACTTGTTAAAATTAGTTTCAGCATAGGGCATTTCTTACGTTTCCCCCTAAATTCTGTATTTTGACGCCATTCTGCATGAAATGAATAAATTTTGTGTCGTACTCGTGCAAACTTTGTGATTGAAAATAAATAAATATTAACAAGGGGCAATTCCTAAAAAAAAGAACAATTTTTTTGATTAAAAATAAAAATAAATAAAAAGAAAAATCTTAAAAAGAGTACGCTTAATTAAGTGTTTCTAAAAACGCAGATTGAATGATAGCGTGCAATTTAAGAAGACGCAGGGCAATTCCCCAAAAAAAAACCAAATTCGTACATCATCTTCGAATCCCCAATGATTGCGATCGTCATAGTTATGATGATTGTGTTTTCGATGGTGTTTCTGATGACGTGTGCCTCGATGCCTTCTACAATTTAAGAATATGACAGTTCGAATTCAATCTACTTTATACAAGCCCGATGATCTTGAGAACGGATCCAATCTATCGTCGAGTCCATACGGAAAAGGATCTTCTTCGCATATTGTCAACTCTACATCAAAAAACATAAGAAAAAGTGAAATTAGGTGATAAATTACCTAAAATGGACAAAATCAATATAAAAATGGTGTTGGTTTGCATAGTGTATATCTTCGATGTCAATCATCCGATGCCATGTTGTAATAGATTCCCAAATTTCCAGTTTCTTTTTTCATCTTATTATTTTTCAAATTTCGTGCCATCGACCAATTTTCGTGTAAACATGTGTATCTTTCTGATTTTCCGCCCCAACCACACACTATTTCCACTCAACTCTTCCCTCGATTTTTACTCGACGCTCCTCTATTTTTTTTTCTATCCTTGGTCACTCGAAATTGTCGTAAAATCTTCTCTCACCCTCCTTTTTTTTTTGAAATTGATTCTATCTCTCATCGACGATGTTTTCGTTCAAAGGTCGAATTTCATCCAAAACTTCGAATGTTATTTTGATGTCGCTACATTATATTTTTAAATTCAATTGTTGTATTTAAAATTAAAGCATAAAGCTCAATATTTTGATATGGAATCCAACAAAATATTTCATCTCGAATCGCTATCAATATTTCAAAGTTTACTTATATTTTATTGCCTCCCTTTTTTTCCCAAAAAACTTATTTGCTATTGCTGACTGCTTCAATTTTTCTGAATTTTACGCGACCTTCTAGAGGCATTGTGTGGCAAATCGAGTCACTTTCATTCATTGGATGCCGATTTCTCCACATGCCGCATTTTCAGATTCATGTGATCAGTTTGTGATTGTAAATATGTAGTAGCCATCCCCTATAAAATTTCTCCTTATTTTTAATCATTAGCATCTCGTTTCTTTCAAAATGTTGCAGATCATTGTATCTTTTTCCATTTGTTTTTTCAACCGTCGCAACAAATATTGTCGAGTTAAAGAGTTATGGGACTATTCATGCAATTTTTACAAAAAATATTTTAAAAATTTATTTGGATTTATTTGCAATTGCTAAAATGCGATTTTTAAAAACATTTTTTCCCTTGAAATTAATTACTATTTTTGTTGGACCAATTGTTTCGAATATTTGTGTAAAAAAAAACAGACGGTTTAAATTGGTTTCTTTTCAATTTTTACTCAAAATTGAATCCATCAAAAATATTGATTTGTCCTATTCGAGCAACCCTCGCATTTTTCTCGAATCCTCTCTGTTGTTGTTTTATTTTTTTTTTTGCTATTCAAATTCGCCCCCAATATTTATGTGTTTTCCAGTTGTCTCCTCATGTTTTTCTCCATTCTTTTCTTTTGTTTTCATTCAAAACAAATATCTCATTTTTTTTTCCAGAAAGCAACATGTTCAACAATATTTTCAATACAGGTTTTTTTTTTCTTTTTTTTTTTAATTCAAAAGTGAATATTCGGTTATATTTTAGTGAAAGACGCTGCTGGAACTGTCGCCAAGACGATTGAAGAGCAAAATCGTCAGAACGGTGAGATTCGGAGAAATCAAATGGGGGTGGATGTAGTTCATTCGTAATTGCAGCTCAAGCCGGATCCCAACAACAACATGCCGATGTCGAAGAAGCTGGTTTGCTTTGAAATTTCCCATATGGTCCCATTTATTACATTTATATATTTAGTTGGAAAAGTCGACTCTCAAGGAGGAAAAGTTCAAGTAACAACTGTTCACGATGAAGCCAAAAAAGGTGCGAATTCCAATTTAATCATTGTATCGTAAAACGATTCTAGAAGAGCCAAATAAGGGATCTGATTTTCTCGCTGACTTCTTGAATGTTGCTCAAGAAGTTGGAAAAGCTTACGGTAAAACGTTGGAGGAGCAGAAGAAGCAGCAACAACAAGCTGGAGTTGTCGAAGAATCTGGTACAAATGGCCCTTCTATACGATTTCTGTTTTTTTTTCCCGCATGCTTCTTAGTAGATTAGAGAATTTCAGTAGCAAAAGTAGATTCGCAAGGCGGAAAAGTGCAGATTGCTACTGTTCAAGATGAGAAAAAGGTTGAGCAGAAACCAGGCACTGACCTGTTAGCCGGTTTCATTAATGTTGCTCAAGAAGTTGGAAAAGCTTATAGTAAAAGTGTCGAGGAGCAGAATAAGCAAAAGAATCAAGAAGAGCCAAGTAATAGTTGAATATCAAATCGAATCTTTCGAAATTCTAGTTGAACCTTGTGAATTGCTCAAATTTCAGTTGGCAAGGTTGATTCTCAAGGAGGCAAAGTTCAAGTATCCAGTGTTCAGGAGAACAAAGATACTGCTCAGCCGGGTACTTCTTCAAAATCTGAAATATTCCAAACTCTCATTACTCATTTTTAGCTGCTGGCTCATCTCTCCTCAACAATTTCTTGAATATTGCTCAAGACGTTGGAAAAGCTTTGGAGAAGAAGACCGAGGACGGACATCAAGTACTAAAGGCCCATTTCGTTTCAGTGCAAACTATATTTGTTCCAGAACACCAATCCTACGCCTGTTGCACAGAAGCCAGCAGAAAGTAAGGAATTGAACGATAGCGATCTGAAAGTGATCGGAGAGAATATTGGAAGCATTGGTACGATATTTGAGTTCCAAGTAAATATTGTCCAATTTCAGTTAGCGGATTGTTCAAGAAGGACGAGGAAAAAAAGTCAGAATTCAAACCCGAGCCGGTTATTGATGATATCGAAGGAGAAAGTGAATTGATCAGTGACCATATTTGGAATAACCTTTGGTTTTTTTTCAGTTGGAAAGGTCACTACGACGGGATACACTGGACTCAAGAAAAAGGAAAATTGAACTGTTATATTGAATAGAATTTGTTCAAATTGCATTACCTACATACATCAATCACTTATGGCACGCATACTTATCACAATAAATCACTTTTTTTTTCAAATATTTTTTATCGAGAAATATAAAAAATAGGTTAATTATCGTCCCCAGAACCCTCTCATTCCTCCCATTCTTCCATATGGTCCGTATCTTGGACCCATCATGCCGCCATAGGGTCTTCCGAACCCTCCGCCATACATTGGGCGACCTAAAAATAGACAACAAAAAATTACTATCAGATCGAGAGTCATGTTCTTACCCCATCCCCATTGGGCATCGACGAATTGAATAATGACGAGAATCGCGACGAGACACAGCCAAATCGACGACGACGACGACATCATTTTCATTTTCTGGCTTCGTTTGCTATTTTTGCCATTTTTATATGGTAAAATGATGCTTGCAAAAAAACGAGTTGTGGCCTAAATTATTGTTTACAAAACAACATTTAAAGGTCCGGATGAAACATTAAAAAAACGACAATTCGCACAGTAATATTTAACAAAATTGAACGAAAATCAAGTCGAAGAGATCAAGTTATTTTAGAATTTATTTTGAATGTTTTTGGATTTCAAAATCGGAACCCCAGAGTTGTTTTTGACCAAATTAAATTTTGTGAATAAAATTTTAAAAAATTAAGTTTTATTTTCATTAAATTCCGATTTCCATGTTTTAATTACATCGTTTAATTGACGACACGATATTAACATAATCTTCCTTTTCAAAAATAGTAAAAATAAAGTTTAAAATAAGTTTTCATACCCTTGAGACAACGTGAATCACTTTTATCTAAATTTTTTTTACGTCGAAACAGTTTTACAAGTTAATCTATTTTAAAATGTTAGCTTACACAACTCCTCGAGAGCATTCATTTATATTTTCTCGTCTTTTCATTCTTTCAAATTGACATTAGTCCTTCTCAAAAATCAATAATAATTTAAACAGAGTTTGATAATAATTTTTTATTAAGTAGTAAAGATGTTGTCGAAATGCAATATATTATATACATCGTCGTCAATTGCTCGTATTTTACTACATTCCAAATCCAAATCCGTATGGGCGCATTCCATATCCACCATATCCTCCGAATCATCTCATTCCGTATCCTCCGTATCCTCCATATGGGTGCATACCGTATCCCATACCTGAAATAAAAGAAGAAAATAAAATGGAATCCGAATTGAACTGTGGCATGACAAACCTCCATATCCCCACTGGGCTTGAGTGAAGTCGACAACGCAAAGAACGAGGACAGCGATGAGAAGGACAAGACGAAGGCTCATGTTGAAAATGTTGGTGTGGTTTGGGTCTTCGAGGTGATCGCGCTCATTTTTATACAATTCCGAATATGATTGCCGCGCCCACCGAATAACCCGTTTCGACCCGAACCGACAGAGATCGCCGACGGTTAAACGTCGCGCACATTCCCTTTTTTGGTCGGACTCTCATCGCCTCTTTGGCGAGATCGTCGTGGTTTCGGCGAACACACACGCACGCCAACTGATACCGCTGGAAATGATCTGTGTTCAGCGAAGGCGGCCATGAATCACACGCACCCTTTGGGTGAACAATGGTGTCTTTAGTCGACACATCTTTTCCACCACCACCATTAGTTTTTGTTGAAATCGTATGCACTTCCATTCAAGTACATCTTCAAGATCAGTAAAGACTATTAATCGAATATCAGTTTTAGTGAGAATCGAAAAGAAAGAGTTAGTATCTCTAATTGGCCTCATGATATCTCTGATTCTCTCAACAATATTACCGAATCTGAAAAAAATGGAAAAATATTTCAAATACGTTGATTTGACAATTGGAACTAACCTCTTCTAAATACATACTTAAAAAGGGCATTTATGAAACAGAAATATTTCTTGGAAAAAACGAAAATCTCGTCAGAGGATATTATTGGGAACTGTTGGATCATACCCGCAAAATATAATCACTTATGCATTTAGACAATGAAAAAAATTAAAATTTCCAATTTATTCTAACCCTCTCATTCGCAACATTATCATCTTGGAATCCATATTCGGAACATTCTTTTTGTATTTTATTAATTTTTCATAAGCTTCTACAATCGCTATCATCATGAATTGAGACATATCCGTTCAGTCTATCGTAGTTTTTTGTCCACAAATTTACTTCCGTGTCTGTTTAATAGTTCAATTCCAACACGATTTTACTGTCTATTCTTTTTTTTTCTGGGTAAGGAAAGCCCTGAGTAAAACGAAAACAGCGGAAATCAAGAAGAGGAATATGGTTCCTCCTCTGTGTTTCAAATTTTACCTATTTTGAAATTGAAACATTTTTGCAGAAAAAGGTGAGAAATTTATAGCTGACAATGTTTTAGAAACAGGTTTTTTTAGAAATGTGGAATCGAGAGAAAAACAATCAGGAAGTATTTATGTCGGCAGTAATTATCTAAGAATTGATACTGATCATAATGAACGTTTTTTGCGGCATCATATACATATATAGGCGATGTCCGGCGACTGCTGCTCGCGGGTAGATTTACGCGCATGTGCCTTGAAAGGTCTCGCCACGTGTGAACGCTTATTTTGCTGTTTTCACGTGAACGATTTATTTTTTTTTCTTGATGAGTTTGGGATTTCTTGGAATTTCTTGGAATTTCTAACATCGCATGATTTAAAAATTATTGAAACCGAACCATTGTGAAATAACCAGTTAGTCCGCGCGAGACCAAGAGAAAGGCGCATGTGCGTAAATCTACCCGCGTACAACAGTCGTCGGACGCTGACTATATATTTCATCATTCAAATTTTGGCGTTTTGGCTGAAAAATTACAATATTTCGAAATAATCCATTCAATTATTAAGAAATTATTTTTATTCCAAAATTTAAAGAAAGCGCCTCCTTAATATTTTATTCAACTCCAACCGCTTTTGATGAAAAATTGGACACAGCGCGGTTTTGTCTTCAATTTTTTCTATTAAAATGGCTCTCGAATTGTTTTTTAACTATAAAGACGACGACCACTGTGATTTTTGAAACCGAAAAATACTTTAAACTACATGTATATGCATTTTGGTGTCTGATCATGACCTTGGAATTCCTCTAATAGTGTAAAGTTTCAATTGCAATAAATGAGTCTCACACTGAACTATTGCTCTAGGGAGTTGATGAGACATGTGAATCCAATGATGACCTTCGTATCCTTTTTTTCTATCATTTAACTATCGTAACGTTTATTACACATAGGAAGTGACGTGATCTACTTATGACCGGGTTGAGTCAATTCGGGTAACTGATTCGAAATGATACCAATAAAACCTACCAAAAAAATCGAAGCAAAGTTTTTTGAGACTTATTTTCTTCAAACTGTAGAAATCATCATGACATTCTGAAACAAAATTAGATTCCATAATCCACGTTTTATTCGAATTGTATTATAGTTCTTTCGATTAAAACGTGGATTATGGAATCTAATTTTGTTTCAGAATGTCATGATGATTTCAACACTTTGAGGAAAATAAAGCTCGAAACAGCGTGTTTTGAATTATATTTTACCAGCTCTCTCTCTCTCTCTCTCTCTCTCTCTCTCTCTCTCTCGCTTCAAAAACTCAGATGATTGTCTCTCGCGACAGTAATTGTTCGAACTCTATCCTTTTTTCTTAATTTTTAGAAAAAAAAAACGGCTATCGATGTTTCCACTTCTAAATACAACAAAAAACAGAAAATTATTTATATTTCCGTTGAAATATGCTTCGTTCTCTTCGCATATTTCAGACGTATTTTACAATATCTGCAAATTCTAATCTCGAATTATCTTATCTCAAAAATTACTATGAATTCGGATATAAAAAATTCGATACCGAAACTTTATAATTAAAAAAAAGCTAGCCGAATTTCAAAGAATTTCAAATCAATCGCGGTAAATCGGAGATTTTTTATTATCAATTTCAAGATTTCTGATCGACAGAACGACACAGCAATAATAGGTTGATTTAATTTTGACTTCTACCCCCACAGAATAAGAAAACGAGACGATCGAATGGAAAAGGTCAGCATTCAAGTTTCAATATTTACCCCGCCAATAATTATATTATATAATGTTTATTCAATCTCGATGAGGAATGAAAATTGTAACAAATCCGGAAGTGTCAAGTAATTCTCGCGTGACGTGCAAAAAAAATCGAGCGGCGACGAAAGCGCTGCCGCACGCAATCCGGTATATTGACGGCTGATTAGATCGATTATCACCAACTTAAAATTGGTGGGCCGAGACGCACTTTGATTTGATTGGTGATTTGCAAAAGGGCATACTCGACGAGCGTCTTTGACCAGTCAAATGTTCTGAAATGGGTATAAAAGCGAAATTACGGATGCGAGTAAACAAATATTTGGGAAGAATTAAGATTATCGCTCTATTGTTTTTATTGACTCTCTTCTTGTCATTGCTTACATATACCGATGCCAGATATTTTAGTAAGTCGTCCTGTCCAGAAAGGTTCATACATACGCACGCAAACTTGCACACATTTGATTGTTTTTAAACATTTCTTTTTTAAAAATGAATCTCTTTAAATTTTTGTCAAACAAAAAAAAAAATTAAATAGTTTTTTCTACTTTAGTTGACAATTTTTGTAAAAAAGTTCGAAAATTGGCGCGCAATTTGAATTTTTTTCAATGTTTTTTTTGTATAAACTTATACTGAGCCTATTATTTTAGGAAATTTAAGCTATTCACTAAAAAAAAAGTCCGAAATTCTGTAAGTTGGGCACCAATTTTGTTATGGTAAAAAAGAAAATTTGAAAAAAAGCGATTCCAGAACAATAAAGAAAAAAATGGAATGTGGGTTTGATAAATCCCACACAAATTCACGGTAAGCGTCAAAAATTACGACGTTTTGCGATTTTTTGCAGAAAAAATTCCCGCATGAATACTATAACTAACAATTTTAAGTACATACCTTGAATTCCCTTTAAAGAAAAATTAAGAGATTAAAAAATTAATTTATTCGAGTATCATTTGAATAGATCTCAAAGAAGTGGAACACCTCAAATTTAATTTCTTTGAGGGGGGTGGGGAACCTCTAAAAATAAAAAAGTATGATGAAAAATATATAAGAAATCGGAAAAAATTTAACGTTAATCGAAGAAAAAATCGATATATGAAATGAATATGTATTATCGTCAAATAAAATGCATAGTCCGCAATTATTATTTTTTGAATTTCGCTTTATTTCAATATTCCTGTGAAATTCTTCATTCGTATTCATTTGTGAGACCTCGAAACCCGAAAAATTGGTCATTCAGTATGGTCAATCACGTGAAAATTACACATTTTTTTAATTGTCGTCGAATAAAATGATGATGGCTTTGCGGACTTGTGCATTTTATTTGACGACAATGCACATGTTATTTACTTCGTGATCGATTTTCTCAGCGTCGAATTAACACAAAATTTTCATTAATTATCTTTTATTTTTTCGATTTCTCATCTATTTTCTGCAATATTTTTTTTAAGGTTATCCCTTTCCCTCTCTAAATAATTCAAGCTTCTGGTTGTTTAGGAGGAATATATCGTGGATTTCGCCGCGGAATTCGCCGATATTACCGATGGGGCTGACATTTTTAATTAATTTTTTTTTTAATTTAATAAAGCATTTGCGTTTTGTTCGTTTCAAACAATTCATTTTTAAATAAATGAAAATCCGAATGCAGGTTGGCTCGCTTCTTTTCCGAGGCAATTTCTAACATTTTTCTCAAATACTATACAATGTCTTCGAAGAATTGGATGACTTCTGTGCCAGAAATTTGTCCGAATTCCGACGGTTCAATTCAAAATTTGAATTATAACCCCAGAAAAAAAGGTGCACATTTTTAGACGGGAATATTTTGTTTAATTTTTTAAAAATCTTAATGGTCACATAACTGTGGAAAATTGGCTAATCGCCAAAAACCCATGGTGCAAAACTAAAAGTGTAGATTTACGGACTTAGGTGCAAGGATCGGTTAAAGGTGCATAAATGGGAGCTCTTTAATTTTTTTTGGCATTTAGCCTATTTTCTGCAATTGTGTTTTATTGCGATTGTGAAAATAACTTTTAGAGATTAAAAATGAGAAAAAAAATATTTTTTTCGTTATTATCGCTATTATAAAAAGTTTCGCAAAATATCAATTCAGGAAGAAGCGCCTTTTTCCAATTTGCCACAGACGCTTCGAAAAAAGATATCATTATTGAACTAGACAAAACTTGCCAAAAAAAGAAACGCGCTTATTTTCAAACTGCAGGCGTCAAAATTGTGTACACGAAACCGTACAATATTTGAGGAAACTAAACGATGTTCGGTCGATTGTCTACTAATTGAAGCCGGTCGAAAACGCGTGAAGTGCGAGTGTCGGATGATAAAAACGTCGGATTGTGCTTGGCACGACCAATCGGCGAAAAAACATGTCAGCGGCACCAGACGAAGACGACGCTCGAATACCGGCGAACACACTCTCCGCCGACGTGTTGTTCGACGGGTTGCTCGTGCCCCAGACAAACACGATTCGATAATTGTTGTTGCTGTTAATTAATAAGCAACGGACGCGCGAATGGAAACAAAAGGAAATTGGGAGGCAACGAGAGCATGAGCAAACACGCCGAGTTCGTCTACAATAGCATGCTTCTGGTGACGTGCCATTCGAATTGCTGCACTTTTTGAACTTGCAAGAAATCCGGAAATAATTTGAGAAGCCTTGAGTTTTGATCATTGACGTTTACGAAACTCATATCGATTCTGTTATTCATCATGTCAAGCTTGAAAAGAAAAAAAAATTGAAAAAGCGCAGAGTGAGCACTGTAGATTCAGCACATTGGAAAGAAATTTTAAAATCTTTCAAAGATATTAGATTTTTACCGTTGAAAGGAATGCGTGAAAAATTCCGTACAAGGAAAGTATTTTTACCCGATGGAATTCAATTTGTTTCTGATTTCACACAAAATAGTTCGCGATTTTCCCTAGGCCATATTTCGCGAGCTGCAAAATTGTATTTTTTCATCTGCGGACATCAAACCGACTCAGATTTTTCATATGAATTGATAATCTTCAAATACCAATCTCATAGCCAGAGATTTCCATTTCTTTTTGAAACTTTCTCGTTGCCACTTTCGAGATGTGAATGTCCGCTGTATTGTATTTCTTTTTGAAATCAGAGCTGTCGATTCGAGTCCGTCTGTATGAGTCAGCAGCTCTTTGAATTACCATTCTATTTTTTGTTGCTCAATGAATCAGTGTCGAGTGGTCGTCATGCATTGTTCACGTATTCACACGTGTCACGACCTCGTCCCGTCAAATCGAGCACGGAAAAAAACCGGGCGCAATCGAGAGATACACACACCAACAAGCAATTCAAATAATCGAGACGGCCAAAAATTGAGACGTCAATCTTTTTACGTACTCACGTGTGATTACGGTGCCAAAAGCCAACTCAAACAAAAGGTCGGCGGCAGCGGCGGCGCGGCGCGCACCGCCTTTCCGGAAAACCGAGATGGGCGGAAAAATTCAGCGGCGGCAGCGGGAGGTGGGAGCCGCGGCGGCACGTATTTAAGCTTGGAGCATCGCGTGGAACAACACAACCAATTTCGTGTGAGCAATGTTCGGCAAACTGTTAACGACGTCTTGCTTGATAGCACTAGCGATTGCTGCTCCTTCAACTGGTAATTTCAACTTTTTTTTCTTTCTAAGGTCTCCATTATTTCTCATTTGTTTTATACCTTACACATCACACTTTTTTTCGATTTCATTTTCACATTTAGTCTTCCATTTTTCTAGTTTTATTTTAGTAGAATGAATTATTAAAAAAAATGAAGAGCCAGAAACCCGTCACTCTTAATTTATAAAAGATGGCAAGAGCAGCAAACGTCGCCAGTACATTGCCCCATTGCCAGGAGTCGCGCAGGTGCCGAGAAATCCGGTGCTCATGGCAGCTCCGCCAGTGCCCGTAGTGGCTGCAGCTCCAGCATTTGCTCCTAGGCCTGTTGCCGTTGCTGCCGGTTAGCTCATCCCATCTTGCTCTGATCTCGATATGCAGCCTTTTCAGCTCCTGTCGTCGCCGCCGCCCCCGCCGTTCCCCTCATGCAGCCAGCTGTTCCAGTAGCCCCCGTCGGACAATGCCCAGGAGGACCGTCGCTTCCAATTGAATGCGACCCAAAGAGACCATGGCCACAATGCCCACCACAATCCTATTGCTACGCCACCAATTCGGTCGACATTGGACCATACTTCTGCTGCCCAATTTGTAAGTTTTTTTCATTTAATTTTTTGAGCCGATTGAGCGACAATTAGCAAAAAACCGGCTGTAACTTCTGAATTGAAACACTCGCTTTGCCATGTGTGTCGCATGTGTCAACACACTCAATGTTTGCCAATGTTTCGGAATGCGGACGTTGCAGGGTCCACCTATGGAGCCGCCTGGCGTCCAGCCACCCCATTCTACAACTACGTGCCACCAGTTCCAGCTAATTGGCCAGATGTTATGAAGGTGACCGCCAACTGGCCAGCGGCCGCTGTTGCTCTTCCAGTCAAGGCTAGAAAGCAAGCGAAAGGAGAGGAAGTAGACGAGGAGCAGGAGAAGATCGGAAGTGCCATTAATGGATGGGTTGAGCGACAATCGAAATTGGTAAGTCGCTAAAACAATAAGAACGTATTATCAGATTCTTTCAGTAAATCGACGAATTTCCAATTGCATGAAATAAAAACTCAATTGTCTGTACAAAATACGATCGAAACATTTTAATATTTATTCCCAATTTTTCCATCGACCAGTATTATTGTATTGTCGAGCATAAAGTATTTTTTTGTTTTATTCTAGTAAGTGGCATAATAAGGTTTGAAGCTAAAATGAATCGGACTATGACTTCGACGCATAGGAAGAACAATGGTCTGGTTGCGAGGAAAATGCCGGTATTGCCATTGTGGACGCAAGAAGCGCCAATCGAATCCGACAAACCGGTACGAATCTGAATCCAGATAGTAATATCGAATAATCCAGCGAAATGAGAGTTCTGCAAGACACGATATTTGGACGTATAAACGAAAAGCCGAAACCTAGTAATAAGATGATCACCGCGATTCCGTAGAGGATCAATAGGAATTTGTAAAGTTGAATGAAATGAGTGGTTTCCAGAACAGTAACCTATATAAATGTTTTATGTCGAATAGAATCCCTGGTAATTCAAAACCAATCGGATCTGACAAAATTCGGCTCCGGAATCAACCTTCAATCAGACAATTTTCCAATCTTGTCTGTAGAATTTCCAATCGGATAAAGTTGATTCCGGAGCCGAATTTTGTCGGATCCGATTGGTTTTGAGTTACCAGAGATGCCGAAGATCAAAAGAAAAAAAAGAACACCAACATTTTGATTCTGTCTGACGGCTGTTGAATAATCGATAAATGCTGGAAGATAGCGCGTTTGAATTGTGCCATATCTAAATTTAATAAATTTCCAATTCTCGATGACTTCTCGGAATTCCTACGAATCTTTTGTAATTGCCAAAGCTCTGTTGAATTTCTCGCGAAGTTCTGGAAATGTTTTCGGGACCGCGTAGGCTAGAAATTCGGGTGCCATCACTCCGTCGCGTACAAACAATATCTAATGTTGTATTCTTAGTAAATCAAATCTTTGAATTTGGTTTACCCTATGCTCATAATTGAAATACGAAATTCGAGTTTGTGAAACATCACTAGTGAACGCTATAAATCCAACATGTTTGTCCAATTCCAAATATGGAATAATGTTTTCCTCGGACGAAATGTTGAGGAATTTGTTAGACAATCGATCCAATCTCTCGCATTGCTCCTTCTTGCAGAACATATACGGAGTGTATCCTTGGTCTTGAAGAACCATAATCCAGCCATCGTGTTCGACTGCATTCAAAACATCATCCAAATCATTAAATATAGTTCCGCGACGCTGTGAAAGCAGCAAGAAGCTTTTAAGCTTTGCCTCGTAATATGTGATAATGACTTGACAACAAAGAAGCCAAACGCCTATCAGAATTATTGCACAAATCGGCGTTGAAATGCGAAACATGAATTGCCGGAGGATTCCGGAGCACGCAACGAGCATCCATTCAATCAATGACTTTTTTCTGACGTTGAAGATTTTTGTATAAAGGAAGATCAATGATCCAACAATTATTCCCAACAGTATCAAAAGTGCGAGTGTCTGAAAATGAAATTTGAAAAAAATCTCGTGAAATGTCAATTTTACATCAACATAGAATGCGTTCAATATATAATCAGCCACGGCGAGCTCGGGAATTTCCTTATGGATATAGCCATAATAGGTGAAACCGATTGGGGTTGTGAAATCTACTATGTTCATTCGGTCTAATGTTTGAATTGCAGTGACGAGAGTAAAATCCGCCGAGCCATTAGAAACCTAAAAACATTGAAGATTGGGTTCCTTTTTCTGACCAAATTTTTTGGTTTCTGAAAATTACCATTATAATTGCATCATCGATTGTTGCGTCGATTCGTAGAATTGTAGCCGTCGCGTTCATAACTTTCAGTGTCAAATTGAGAAATTCGATCTATTCTTGATATTGTGATCTGCGGTTTCACAGCCATTATTATTCTCACCTCTGAGCCGGGTCGCGGACAATCGAACGACCAACAGAAATCGCTGAAACGCACATACGGTCCATCAGACCGAAATCCGACGGCGCGCAGGTTTTCGAACTGCATCGCGGTGCTTCACGCGGAACAATTAATGAAACAGCCGGGGGGTAATCGGACACCCTGATCGAATAAAGGAGCGCGGGTAAACACGCGAGTTGGCGGAATTCATTAAAATCACTTGCACAACGAAGGGCCGGCTAACCGCCAATGAATTCGGGGGATCGGACATAATTTGTAGTTGAAAAAAGGAACAATATTATTTTCTCCAAGGTGTAAGATTTTTCTCAAAAAATGAATTGTTCACATTAAAGATCATTGGCAAATATTTATTGAGTAATTTGATATTCACTAATTCCTTTGATGTCATTTATGGAAGCAATTTATGAATTGACGTGGAAATGAACTGCAATCATTAATAACATATCATTTCGTAGTTTTTACCTATTTCTATCAAGTCGATTTTAAGACATTCGTATGTGTTCTTTGTTTTTTTAAAAATACCATGCATTAGAGTGCGACGAAGATGTCAACAAAAGAGCTACAAGTTGATAGAACCCTTGGTAACGATGATGTAATTAACGGGAATCGATGAGTCGAAGCTAATTAGTAATTTAGGATGAAAGAAGTAAAGGTGGAGACAAAAAAGAGAAGAAAATGGACAAGAAGCCGCTGAGAGAAGAGGAATCTGACAAAAAGGACAAGGATGAAAACAGCAAACAGAAGAGGAAGAAGAGCGGCGATGTGAAGAAATCTACAAGAGATAAAAATGAGGACGATTCAGACAGACGAGTGCGATTCTGATGGTTGGGAATGTCGTGCACAGAGGTTATCAAGTCGCAGACCTTCAGCAGAGTCTCTTATAAGAGTCGGCTGAAAATCTCTGCACGGCATTCCCGAGGGTGTGAATTATTGAATAATATGAATTCAGAAAGCTTCGCAAAGGCCTACAGAAACTGGAGGTGAGGAAAAAGATTCGGGTCTTGAAAAGAAAGACGATGAAAAAGAAGGTGTGAAGAGGAAAGATGACGAGAAGGAGGTGGTGAAAAAGAAGGAGAAAGTGAAGAAGGAACCGCCCGAAGACTCGAAAATGACGAAACCAAAAAAACTCAAGTCTTCGGTTAGAAAGAAGGTTGTATTCGATCAAAGAATAAATCCTCTTTGATATTTAATGTGATTCCAGCTGTCCAACAATGAAATATCGAAAATGGAAATGCAGTGGGCTAGGAATTTTGTATTTCAGACGCCGTGAGTTTTTCATGAGATTCTCAAAATATACGAAAAACTGCATCTGATACATATTCTAACAATCGATCCCTGCAATCCCAGAAATGGCTGCAAACAGCGTATCAGACCGACAGATGCTATATTAGAGTACATTCAAATATTATGATGAAATCTATAGTACATACTAACCTGAATTGAATTAAATTTGTTTGCTTCTATACTTCCTTCATCGGCCATATCTTTTGTTTCCATTTTATTCCAGAAAAGATGAAGTCGAACTGTCGACTTTGCAACTCGAACCGCCGCTGTCGACAAGTGCCAAATTAATGGAGGAATATAAGGTGTTTTATTGCTGATTTTAAATATTTTTTATTGCGAATTTTCCAGTTTTCCATTCAGCAAGTCCACACTCTTCTCATTCAATTAATGCGACGCGGAAACGGGACAACCGACTTGGAGGTTCGAGATTGCTTCAGTCTCATTATTGATTCCATTTTTAGAATATCAAAAGTGAGAAGGGTCAGACTGCACCCGAGCGTCTTTACAAGGCGATTAATCAAGCTACAGTATTCTGGTGTACAGCTACAGTATCCTAGAAAACGGTTGACGTAATTAGACGTTGATCTTTAGGAACTTCAACCAATGCTGAACGAATCGGTGAAAACGAATACCACTCAACTTGGACTCGCCGAGAGACATTTGCAGGAAAGAGGCCCGAAGCATTTGAAACGGATCAAGAAATTTGTGTACAATCAATGGCAACAGGTGACATCATTGATTTCAAACCACAATTTGTTGAATGCCTATGATAGTACGTTGAATTGAAAAAAGACTTGGCGAAACTGAACAAAACGAGACCCGACAGTGTGCATATGAAGGAGGAGCTGCTTCAGAAGATCAGCAGATTTATTCAAGAGAAATATCTCGATGCGAAGTCGGCGCATATCGGAGAGATTCAGGCGGCACTTGTTGAATTATCGGTATGAAATTTCTTTTAAAAAAATATTGATTTTTAAATATACTATTATTCACTTTTAAAAAATACAAATACAAAAAAAAAACAAATGCCCAAATTCTATCCTAGGTAGAATCGCGATTACACTTTGCGAAAAAAATTTTCACCGTCGAATATTCCGGAAAAAACGGTATAAATATTATCTTCCTCATATCGTTGTAGTTGAAGAGTCAAACATGAGCATATCAAGGTCGCAGCCAAAACCAGCAGGTTTTCGTGGCGATATATTTTTTTTTCTCCCCCATGTGCCTTTAAACGTCAACTATTTTCCCAGCGGTATTTCCCGCAAATCTTAGAAAATCGCTTATCTGCTTTTCATATTTTTTTTTCCAATTATCGTTTAAAACAATAAAAAATCATATAGACTTGTATTCCAGATGTACCATCGATCAGCTGAGCGATATTGGTATAATATTGGAGAGCGAAAAACAATTAAAAAGCCTTTTGTTCCTGAGAATTTCGACTTTTCCGTGTTTTTCGACAGAAAATGAATAAATAATGAATATTGGTGACGTTTAATGTTGACTTATGGGGAGTATTGGCACAGAATTTGTAATGCAAACGAGATAAAAGTGATATAGCGAGAAAGAGGATTAATTGAGCGATGATAAAGAACAAGTAATCACGAGAAATTTTCACTGTGATTGATATGTTAATTTGTTGACCAGCAAGGTCAGCCGGAAATGGGAAGAAAATGACTTTTTGAAGAATTTTACAGTCTTAAATTCACTTTTGATTGGTTTTATTAAAATGTTTTTTGTTAAATTTAAAAATCAGCAATCAGCAATTGCGAATTGTATCGTTTACAGCTTCTTTAAAGGAACATAAGAACCAATGAGATTCCATTTGAGATATTTCTCGCAATTTGGCAGCTTCTGGCAAAAAATTAGATGATTCAAAAATCAAAATGGGCTTCCACTATTTTTATACATTTTGTACATATTTGCTCATTAATAAATAGCCGGCACAAAGCAACAATTACGGTTTCTCACAACAGTAGTCAAACACGGGAAAAGTGATGTGATTATTTGTTGATTCAGCCGCCATCAACACTTTTATATAAAAGCAATAGAAATTTTTCGCAGCATATTCGTCATCTCGCACGACTTATTCGATTGATTTCACTTCTTTTTTTTTTCATTTCAATCTATTTGAAAACTCTTTTTCGCTGATAAAACGAAAACTGATTAGAAATTGCGGTATAAATGTTGACAGTGAACATTGATAATTAATGAACCAGTCGTTTATTAAGATCATTCATGATGTTGAATTTCAGAAGAATGATCAAAACTTTGATCCTCACCACTTTGGTGGCCTTCACTGCTGGTTCAGCGCTTCCGAAGGTGCTTCCATTTGTGGATTCGTCTCTTCCAATCACTTTCCGACAAGTGATTGCTCAGCCAGCTCCGAAGATCATCTCCAACAGTGCTGCTTATGGTTATGCTGTCGATTTCTCGGTGCCGGCCACCCTTCAGCGGCTTCAGTGCGTCAGACAAGCTGGATACAATGTCGCCTTCATCAGGTCAGATTAGGAATGCCAAACTTCTAGCTCATTTCAATGTATTTCAGAGTTTACAACCCGGCCGGACAAGGTTCTTTCGATGTCAACTCTTGCAGTTCCATCCAAAATGCTCATTCCGGTTTGTTTTTTTCTTTGGCAAGCTTCGATATTTAAACCCTGCTTCAGCTGGACTTGGAATCGAAGTCTACATGACTCCACAACCAGCATCTTCGAAGCAAGGTTACCAGCAACTCGACGAGATCTACCAAGGACTCACTTCTCGTGGAATCACCATTCGCTCTGTTTGGGTTCAGGTCACTTCGCCAGCTAACTGGCCAGGAACTGCCACACAGCACGTCAACTTCATCAACAGCATCATTTCGAGAGCCAAGGTAAACGACTAATCGGATTAGTTTCTTGATAACGCGACTATTATCCAAGTTCAATTATGCCGCTCTGCTTATTTCAGCAATACGGGCTCACCGTTGGAATCTATACCAGCTATTACGATTGGAATCAGATCACCAATGGATGGAACAGCCTTGGTAGCAATGTTCTTCTCTGGTACTGGAATGTGCTTGGAGGAGGAGTCACCGGAGAATCGCCAGCCAACTTCGACGACTTCCGACCATTCGGATGCTGGCGTACGCCATCCGTCAAACAGTTCGCACAGGTTGAGGTCGTCTGCGGTCTCACTGTCAATCGCGATGTCTACACCAACGCCGGATTCCAAATGTCGGAGGCCATCGAAGGCGAGAAGGATGAAAACATCATCGTCGGATCGCTCGGAATTCAGCACTAGATGTCGATTCAAGAATCTCAATTCTACTTATGCACATTTAATACTAATAAAGGGGTTTAATTTATTCAAAATGTTGTTTTTTTATATGCATCGAACACTGAACTTTCAAAAAACGTTTTAATGGATTTTTTAAAGGAAATAAACCAAGATATCAAGAAAAACAAATTATAATAACTCCCGAAAACCCATATTTTTGTTCGCGCGAATCGTCCATATTGTTCTGGAGCATTCGAAAAGACTAGACTATACACAAATTTCATGTTTTCTTCAAAATGAATGTTCGCTAATCCTGTTGAACATCTCGCGGAAGTATTCTGATAACATCGTTATCAACATTTATGATCCGGTTGTTGGAGCTACCAAATTGTGTTATCGGAATGTTTTATTGAATTTAGTGTTTATAAAAGATTTCATTCATTTAATTAATGAATTCGAAGAGCGAGATTTCCGGCGACAATTTTGTCTTCCTGCTTGTCGGAAACTGATGTCAATTCAGCGCCGGCGTTGGTGTAGACGTTGCGGTTGACGGTGATTCCAGCGACAACTTCAACTTGAGCAAATTGCTTCACAGACGGGGCAATCCAGTTTCCGAAGCTTCTGAAGTCGCTGAAGTCGGCTGGGGTTTCACCGCTGGTGCCTCCTCCAAGAACGTTCCAGTACCAAAGGAGAACGTCGTTTCCAACACTGTTCCATCCACCAGTGATCTGACTCCAATCATAGTTGTTTGTGTAGATTCCGACGGCAAGGCCGTATTGCTGAAAATAAGACGCTCAAAATGATACCCAATTGCCTAGATTTATACTCTAGCTCTGGCGACAATGCTGTTGATGAAGTTGATGTGTTGCTGAACAGTTCCTGGCCAGTTGGCTGGAGAAGTAACCTGGATCCAGATAGCGCGGATGGTGATTCCATTGGTGGTCATTCCGTTGTAGACTTCATCGAGTTGTTGGTATCCTTGCTTCGAAGAAGCTGGTTGTGGAGTCATGTAGACTTCAATTCCAAGTCCAGCTGAGTAGGCATTTCTCAACGACGTCACACTGTTGGTATCAAAAGTTCCTTGTCCAGCTGGGGTGTATCCACTGGAATATTAAATAATATTAAAACAATTTCAAAAATGATATCAAGGTTTTTACCGAATGAATACTACATTGTATCCTGCTTGTCTGACAGCCTGAAGTTGCTGAAGAGTAGCCGGCACGGAGAAGTCAATAGCGAATCCATAGGTAGCGCTGTTTGATATCACTTTTGGCGCTGGCTCAGCAATAACTCCTTTGAAAGTGATTGGAAGCGATGAATCGACAAACGGAAGCGTTTTTGGGACCACAAATGCGGCAGAGCATGCCACGAAAGTGGCGAGAATCAAAGTTTTGAGCATGCTAGAAAAAAAATCAAAAAGTCAGTAGTGAAAGGCACAGTGAAAATTTGATAATTGATTGGTGTACACCCAAAGTTTATATAGAAATTCCTAATCAGTTTCTCTAGTCATTATCAGATTAAACGTGTGGGTATTTCGAATCAATTGTCACGAATCATAAAATGTCAAAAACTCGAAATGGCGTCATTAACAACTATCGTTCGTCGAAATGCATGTGATCCGATACTCATTCATATTATGAAAATATTTATATTACAGTACACAAAACAAATATCCAACATTTTCAGATTGATTTGTCTACAATGACATTATTATTAAGTGCGCTTGATGTGTAGAAGACATCTCGATTGACGGTAAGTCCGAACAAGATCTCAGATTGCGCGAACTGCTTGATCGTCGCTGAACGCCAGCATCCAAATGGACGGAAATCGTCGAAATTCGCCGGAGTTTCTCCAGTCACTCCTGGTCCGTAGACATTCCAGTACCACAGGAGAACATCACTTCCGATGCTGCTCCATCCAGCGGTGATTTGTCCCCACTCGAACCGATTCGTGTAGACACCAACGCCCATTCCGTATTGCTGTAAATTTGGAAGTCTGAATTCACTTACGAAAATTTATTTACCTTGGCTCGTGAAATAATATTATTCAGGAAGTTGACATTCTGGGAAGCATTTACCGGCCAGTTAATCGGGGAGGTTACTTGAATCCAAAGAAGCCGTGGGGTTATTCCACAGTTTATCAATCCGTTGTAGAGCTCATCAACTTGCTGATAGCCTGCCTTCGATGAGGCTGGCTGTGGAGTCATATAAATTTCAATAGAAAGACCCGCTGAAAGTGTATACTTCAAACAAAAACTAAAGATCAATAATTACCATGGTAAGCATATTGCAGGGTGTCGCATGAGTTTGCATCAAATCCTCCCTGGCCCATTGGATTGTAAGCTCTGCAAATCAAAATTCGTCTGTTGAAAAGGAGGAGGGGTTACCTAACGAAAACAGCCGTGTATGCCGCTTCTTTGATGTTCAGCATTTGCTGTCTCGTCGTTGGCATCGACACATCGATGCCATATTTCCATCCAGCAGCACTGTTCGAAATGATCGCCGGAGCTGGCTGAGGAACATTTTGTTCGAATTGAAGTGGGAGTGATGAATCCACAAATGGAAGAGGCTTTGGGATGGCAACTGAAGCAGAAGCTGCTATGATGGAAACGAGAATCAAAATTTTGAACATCCTAGAAACACGCGAATGATCATCAACTGATAATTCATTGGTCTGAAATCAATTTTTATAAAAATATTTTAATCTGGACCAGTCGTTTATCAAAGAAGAACGTGGGCGTTAGTTCGCTTCAATCTCAATTGTCATCATGGATGATTTAACAAAATTGATTCCACTAATTGATTGCCAAAAGTGAGCCAAATTAATTTTCACTTGCTTACTTACTTAGTGATTCATAGTTCATCTGTTAATTTAAAAATAATGATTAAAAAACACGGCCGACCTTTCTATTTTTTTTCTATTGATTGTTGATATGACTCTACAGCCAGTGTCGAACTTTAGTATGTACACAAATCTCTATGAATGGAGCCAAATCACCGGTGGATGGAACGGTCTTGGAAACGATGTTCTCCTGTGGTACTGGAATGTCTATGGACCAGGAGTGACTGGAGAAACTCCAGCCAATTTCAACGACTTCCGACCATTCGGAAACTGGCGTGCAGCCACTGTCAAACAATTCGCGCAGACCGAGACCGTTTGCCAAATGACTGTCAATCGCGATATTTATTACACGGTCACTGCGGAACTCCCAAAAGCCATTGAGATGAAGCTTTAAAATAACTATGTAAATACGTTTCTTCAATAAATTTATTTAATTCTATTCATTGCAATTGCGTTAACATACAAAAATTCTCGATTTGATCAGGGCACACATGGTTTGGTGAAATCAGTAATAAGTGTTCGCTGTTCTTCCCGATCGAACCATTGTGTTGTTTAAAATAGAAAACGTGCGAAAGTATAATACGTGGGCAATACTTCTTGTCAATTTATCAAATTGTCAACGAATTTCGGTAGTGTATTGTGGTCATTATAATTATTATTTATGAAATGCAACTTTTTTAGGGTAAAAAATAACAGTAGGTGTCCATTTTTTACACCTGCATTAGACAAATGAGTAACTTTTCACAATTTTTTATTGCATTAATGATCTTTAAGTGAAACAATTTTCTCTGATAAACAGATTGATTTATTATCTTAACCAAATAATATTGTTTGAAAATCAAAAACTAATCGGCGTCAAAAGGCTTCAAAAACCGAGATTTCTCTCGATCAAATCGCTGAGAACTTTTGTATGTTAACGCAATTGCAATGAATAGAATTAAATAAATTTATTGAAGAAACGTATTTGCATAGTTATTTTAAAGCTTCATCTCAATGGCTTTTGGGAGTTCCGCAGTGACCGTGTAATAAATATCGCGATTGACAGTCATTTGGCAAACGGTCTCGGTCTGAGCGAATTGTTTGACAGTGGCTGCACGCCAGTTTCCGAATGGTCGGAAGTCGTTGAAATTGGCTGGAGTTTCTCCAGACACTCCTGGTCCGTAGACATTCCAGTACCACAGGAGAACATCGTTTCCGAGACCGTTCCATCCACCGGTGATTTGGCTCCATTCATAGAGATTTGTGTAGATACCAACAGCCATTCCGTATTTCTAAAAATCAGTTAAGAATTCACAAAAATAATAAGCGATACTACTTTTGCTCGTGCAATGATACTATTCATGAAATTGATGTTCGGTGATTGTGCACTCGGCCAGTTGACTGGAGAGGTTATTTGAATCCAAAGACGACGAGCCGTGATTCCACAGTTCGTCAAACCATTGTAAAGTTCGTCGACCTGCTGGTAAGCTGGCTTCGATGATACTGGCTGTGGAGTCATATAAATCTCAATAGAAAGGTCGGCTGTAAAGCAGTGCGAATAGTTAGAAAAATCAAAATTTCGGAAATTTACCGGACATTGCGTTGCGAATAGTATTGCATGAGTTGATGTCGAAAGAACCTTGTCCTAACGGATTGTAAACTCTGAACATTTTTACATTAAATTTGATTAGTTTGTTTTTTATACCTAATAAAAGCCGAACTATACGACAATTGCTTGAGACATTGAGTCTTTTGCGGTGTTGTGGGAACTGACAAATCGACCCCGTATCTCCATCCAGCAGCACTGTTTGAAGGGATAACAGGTGATTGTTGAACAACAGTCCGTTCGAATTTGATAGGAAGCGATGGATTCACAATTGGTTGAGCCTTCGGAATCACACTTGACCCCACTGTGGCCACTAATACAATGAGAATCGAAGTTCTGATCATTACGGCTGGAGACCAAATATCTTTTCTAGTGCTAAGCAATTGATATTTATGCGGTTTCATTAATCATTTTATCAGCGGGTCTTAAAGTTCAAATTACATAGAAATGCATCATTATTCTATTAAGCCATGCTCCTTTATTTGTTATCAGTGGGTGAAGTTATGAAAGAACCAGACGGATTGATATTAATCTGGGACCGATTATGATTTGAATTATCATATTTATACCATTTGAAAATAGGTAGATTAAGGAGCTCTTTAGATTTAAAAAAAACATGTATTCATAAAAATAACAGTGTTATTAAGTCAGAATAAACTAATATCAAATATATATGTACTTAATTAAAGAAGAGGAATATCAGGAAGATTACACTTGGCTGCTGTTACAATATCAGTTAGATTCACAACTCTTCCCTGGAATCGAATCTGCAATTTTATGAATTGATATCGACAATTCGACTAATCGTACCTCCAAGAAGACGCTATCCGGACTATTATCGCAATCTAGTCTCGTCGCAATCGGTTCTCCTTGCACAATTCGTTTCCTACCGAATCCCAGCTCCGGTCGCGCTTTCACATTGTACAATCGTGCCTCGAATCCCATCCAATTTTCGGTTCCAATGATGAAAATTCCATCATTGTCGCACCCGCTATAGGCTCCATTATAATCGGTGAACAATCGAATTCTTCCAACAACTTCGCCGGCAATTGGACTATAAATCATTGGGATTCGAGTGTCTTCGCCGTCCTCAGAAATCTTGCGGCATTCGATATCCCAACCGCGAACACCATTATATCGTTTGTCGGTTCGGAAAGCTTCTCCGAGAAGGGCATTCCGCGAATTGGACTCGCAAATTTGACCAGTACACATACCTAGAAGCAGATTCGTTTTGAATAATTAAGGACCACAGAAAACACACAATTCTGTAAATGATAGCTGGGATCAATAAGTCTTCCAGATTTGTAGAGCTTTATTTCCACATGTGGCTCAATATCCCGCTGTCCCGGCTCAACATGGCAATTTCTACAAGAAAATAGTGAAAACAACAACAAACGATGTATAAAAAAACCTATCCAATGCTTCTCCAATCTCATCTCCAGCTTCAACGTGTCCTCCGAAAAATGCAAGCTTCACTGATGAGATGTGAACGGCGTATCCTACAAAAAATGCAATATAAATGTGTTAGAATATTTTCAAAGGCAAATCCAGAAATGAAAAGAATTGACAAGTGCACGTGTGTGTTTGTAAACATGTATTTTTAAGACTTCAAAGAACTTTCGTTCGAAACAAATAAAGTTTGGAACTTTGGGGCACATTTCGGGCTCACCTTGCCATTGGCCAGTTCCTTCAATTCGAACACCTTGATCGGCACATCCTTTTTCTTTCTTTCCACCAAACGGACGCCAAAAGTACATTTCTCCTTCGATTGGAGCATAAACCGGCTCGCCGGCTCGACATTTCACATCGACACCGTCGACAATTTCTCCATTCGATCTGAAAAACAGAAAATTTTCGACAAATTTCCTTGGTGATGCCTTATCATTTCAGCGCCGCCCCACCACACCTTCATCCCGTTCTCAATATCACCAATTGTCGAGGAGCCGTTTGTGTTTTTCGTGTCTTCTTTTTTGTGTGTTCTTCTGTCTCAGCTCGTGTCTCGGATTTCGACAAGAAACACGCAATATGACAAAATCGCAACCACGTTCAGCCTATTATTCCGGCAATGTGAGCCAACTCGAGCAAGTCTCTCTTGTTATTCACGGTCACTACGATCGAGCATTTCAAGGTAAATTAAATGAATTATCCCAAAAAAGGAGATTTTCAAAAAATTATAGATGTTCCACTCATAGCCCGCAGCTCCTGCATTGACGGCCTTTTAGTCTATCTATTTCAGTTCACCCTCCTGACTGTCCTATTCCAAATGATCGCTGATTACTTTTTCTTGTGCAATCCACTCTATTTTTCACCCGTCCCTTCCTTTCCACTTTATATTTTCCTAACTATCAGCATCATTGTTGAGTTGTATGCAATCCGCTCAAATTGGTTTCAAATATATCTATTCTCCACGGTAATTAACGTAACTGTCCCATTTATTTATATATTCTTTCTCGCTTATTACAGTAAAGGTTTGGGCGATTATAATCTTAAAACGCTCATTGGTTTAGCATCAGCTTTAATTTTTCTAGTATTTGTTGTATTTCGAGCTCTTATTACAACATTAATGGTTCGATTGTTGGAATGTCGAGATCGGTGTGAAATTGAACTTCGTCACGCAATTTTTTACATTTGAAATAATAAAAAAAGTACCTTTCTGTGTGAAAGTTTCCACATGATCCGTCGATATCTGGACAACGTCGAAATTCATTTTGCGCATTGTTGCCGCATACTTTGACCATACATCCGAGACAGTTGCCTGCAAAAAGTGTCAATATTATATTTTTTAATATTTTTTGCGGTCAAGGTCAAATTGAAGACATTTCAAAATCCAAATGTTTTGCAGCTGCAATATCTTTAATATTACTATTATGGTGTTTCAAGAAAAATTGATGTTGAAATATTTGCAGCATTTTCTTCTTGGTTAATATATATTTTCCCATCAAGAATTACTAAACGCACTAACCTTGTTTCACGATTGCCAACAGTAGAGTACATATCCAAAAATTCGCGCTCATCCCTTCTGAAAAGTAAAAAGAAAACAGTTGATAAGTCAACAAAAAAAAAACAATTTCTGAAGATGAATGACAGCGACGAGAAGAGAATGTCGAAAAGAACAATGTTATACTACTGAACCTCGACGACCTATTTGATAGCACGGCTGAATGACAACAACTGCTCGCACATTGCTCCACATCTGCGTCGCCGCCTTTCGGAACACTTTATTACCTTATTGTTGTTGGTCTTGTCTTGTCAAAATCCTTTGATTGACATGCGACATTTGCAAAGCGCTTAATAAAAAGTATAGCGTGAAATTGGTGTAATAATTGGAGGCACATAAATATTGAAAGATGAGCGCTAAAAAACAAAAAAGTACGATGTTTACAACGCATGCACGATTTTTATAAAGAAAAACGTGAGCTTTTGAAAAACCTTTACATTTTTCAAAATATCTTATACATCTTTCAATTTTCCAATTAGTAAATACGTGCGTTTACTAATTAACGCGATCAAAAAATGAAAAAAAAAACACACACATTTTGCTGCTTGTATAAAAATACGCATTCATTGTAATTTTTTAACGATTTTTTTGTAAAACATAAATTTAATAAAATATCCATCAGTATTCAATTTTCCACTTTTAGCATTCAGTATAGAAATAAGAACAATTTAAACATTTAAAAAAATGGGTTTCCAAAAAAAATTAATATAGTCCGCAATTTTGCGTAAAATTTATCAAAATATTTAAATTTTTGGCATCATTTCCATATTCACGTGTTTTTTCTTCTTTTTATCATTGAGTTCAACTTCAAGTTTAACTGAGAATTTATTGAAAGTATCAAAAAATTACAAAATGTTCTATTCGCGAGACGAGCTGAAATGATCCTCCATAGTGAACCGAATTGGGTTGCGCAATATAAACGGTTCACTGTGTTCGTCTGGTTGCTGCGATTCGCTGACTTCTTCCTTCTCGGAACTTGATTTCAACGGCGACGGCTTCGCTCGTCGACGATATCGATGACTATGATTAAGAAGTTTCGACCATATCGAAAATCCTTGATCGCATTTCTCGCAATGGAAATGCGTTTTCTTTTTGAGCTTGCAGAATGGTCGAGAGCACAACTACAAAAAATAGTGGTTTGAACATTTTCTCTGCAATTTTTTTTTGCGATTTCGTTCGAAGAGAGCGTTTCATCCCGAGTGCATTTATTTCGCACCCTCGAAACTCCGAACGATCGCATAAAATATTTGCTGAATTGAAAATCAAACAAAAACTGACGTCGACTTTAAAGTTTTGTTGCGGAAACTCCAAATCTGCTGCGTTTCCAGGGATGTGGCATTTGTGCGAGTTGCACATTTCGAATGCCTAAAGATCAAAGAATTTGAAAACGATGAACAATGGGATTATTGTCACCTGGAAGCATTTTGCGCAATGCCAATGACATTGTTTCCCAGAAAATTGGCATTCGGAAATTTTATCTAAACTAGGAGGGATGAAATCGGTGTGGAAAATATAGACGCTTTTGAAATCATGGATTTATTCAGCTGTACTAGAAGAATTGTCGAATTAGCCATTTTTAGTCAAAACACATCAAATTTGTCAAATTTAGACTATTTCGACAATTTTGCATATCGCTGAATAGCTCCTGAAGTTTTAAATTAATTTTTTTTTTGTTTTTTTTTTTCAGTTTCTTGATCTCATGTTCAAATGATGTTCAATTTCTGAGAAAGGGAAATAATTTCTGTATAAATTTGGGATACTCTATGAACATTTAAAATAGTTTTTCAGAAATGTTTATGATTTTTTATTTCGTATTAATAATCGACTGTCTTCGTTTTTAAAATGGTCCCTCATGGAACTTGATTTGTGGCATTTACAGAAAAAATACAAGCAGTTTTCAGACCCATTTCAAAGATGGCAGTGATTTTTTGTCAAAAAATTAATGGAAAATGATTAATCGAATATTTTATATTTCGTTGCGACAGTTTGAAAGATCAAGATGAATTGATTACCCGAATTGGTGCACGGTACATCAATATGATAGAATATCATATTCTCCGGGAACGGAAGTCTCGAAGAATGGAAGATTGTGAAATGATTAGTGATAATTAACGTATCATCGGAAGCGAAAAAACACCTGGAAATGCTGGAATTCTCCCTGATCCCAGTTGTCAGAGTTACCTTTTCTGATTGCAATGCACGTGCTGTTTCGAGCGGAATTTGCAACGCTCATCGGCGCAATCAATCTCGACGAAATTCATGTCAAAAGTCAATATCGGATGTAGGTCGCCGTTTTTGTGCGACTATTGTCGTTCGGTGTTGTATTCAAGAATTCTCTTATGGTCACCATGGCGACGGATCGGCCATCTCCTGGTAACCGTGGTTAAAGTAGAAAAAAAAAAACACAACAATAATTCGGTGACGACGACCAAAGAGCTTCTTCGTCTTCTACTGCTTTCGGCTTTCTAGCCTCCACATTTTTAGAAGTTGAATAACAAGGATGAGGTGATTTGTAGAGTTATTTATACGTATTTTCGAAATTAATAATTTATGCCAAACTATTATTTGTTTTGTCGCCCAATGAATTATTAAATAAACATTTATTTGATTTTACATTTATTTTGAATCATTGTCAAAGCACCAACAAAGTTGTAAAACTATTTTTAAAAAATGCTGAAAATTTTGGCAGATCATGAGAAATTGTGTTCGATATTTTTTTTACTTATCTAACTGAAAGGACACGTAGAGGGAAATGTTGAGGAAATCGGCGGATGCCGGTCGATTACGGCTGCGGATTGAAATTGATAAAATTGGCATCATCGCATTCCATTTGATATTGCTGTTGCGACTGCATTTGCTCGTAGTTCTGCTGAACGTACTGCGGCGGAAGCGAGCTCGTTTTGCACAATTGCTGCTGTTGCTGCTGTTGGCCATTTTGTGTTGGCATCTGACCGAATGAGGAGGTTTGCGATATCATGCCCGGATTATTTGAATAGCCCTCAACGGGATAGCCATTGGTGCCGTTTTGAATGCTAAAAATGGAAATGGCATTGCGAAAAAAAAAAATGTTGAAAACCAACCGATCATATGAAGTTGTGGTAACCGTAAATTTATGTTTAGTACTCTCGACTGTTGAAATGTAAAACATTGGATGTGATGGATCAGTTGGATTCGGAGGAAGAGATTCTTGCCTAGTGAGTGGTTGCGACGATGATACTTGCTGGCCATTTTGCTGCGGCTGTGGAATAGGAACGGAATTCTGGAAATTCTTTGACAATTTTCCCATTGCGATGATGAATTTCCTACCTGTTTTGGTTGTTCATCGGTCTCCATTGACTGCTGAACGATCGCCTGTCGCATATCTAGCGCTGCAATCCCCTATCTAGCATGTTATTCTGATATTCCCTCACTTACCTGGGTACATATCCGGCGTAATTGTCAAATTATAATCCGGATCGCATTCGGTCATTTCCAAATTCGGCATCGACGATGTTCCACTCATCGTTACATCGAAATCACGAACTTGTGATGGCAGCGAATTACACGACAAACTGGAAAATGGGCGGTTGAATAACAATGCAATTAATCAAGTCACTTACTTATATGGAAGACTTCCAATTTGATTGTCATATGAACCGGATGGATAACTGGCAAGGCTCTCAATAGACGAGCTACTTGATGAATGCACCATTCGAGGCTCCGAATGTCGTCGAGTCAGACTCGGCGATTGCTCCTCCTGTGAAGCTGGCGGCATGGCAACTGGTGAAGTGTCGATGGGTGAGGAGTGCGATGTCTAAATTCAATCTTTTTTGTTTTGGCATTACATCTCAAAATGATTTACCGATTCCGACAACAAATCGTGCATCAATCGATCGTTCATTTGTCCGAAACTGTCAACGAATGCCAAGTTTTCAATAACAACTTTTCCAAGCATCTAAAAATAGAATGGAGCTACATACAATTTACAGTAATTTGTAGGAAGATTTCGAAAAAAAAACATATTAAAACAAGGGGTTTTGCCGGATTTTTGAGCTGCTTCGGGGGAAAGACCACGCATTTTCTTATGAAAGTCTCTGCTGAAGGTCTTATTAAACCACGATTTTCCCAAGAATTTTTAAAACTACCATTAGTAAAACAATTAATCAGATTCATTAATTAGCGCAAAATATGCTAAATGTTGCGTGCGCCTTTGATGTTACTTTTAATTGATACTAATTATTGCGTTGCCAAATTTAAAATTTGCCATGTGCTACAGAGATTTCAGAGATGTTTCAAAGCGCAAGAACCTACCATCACCGATGGAATGAAAAGCAACAAGTTCCCGAATCTGCTGCTCGCCACTTCCTTCGGATGAGTTTCTCGAACAACATGGTACAATGTCTCTTGAATCCGATCACGAAGATCCATTATAGCTTCAGCGCATTCTGGCGATAACGACTTGATGTCTAGAAACGAATTAAAAATGTTCGAATTAAAATCGCTTCCTTACAAGGATTCAAAACAACAATCGCTTTCATCAATGTGATCTCTTCTTCCTTCAAATTCATCTTCTTCAACGGATCGATAAGCTCATCAATACATCTTTCAGCCAAATGGTTGCCAAAATGACTGAAATTAATGGAAATGGAGATTCGAACGGTTTTCGGAACAACTAACTAGGGTTCTTGCCAGTTGTTTGGAGCATATCGGTTCAGATATCCAAATGTGCTCAGGCATACAATGTCCTTCTGTTTGTGGCGAGCTGTGTTCGCGCATAAGCTGAATATCATCAATGGAGCATACGCATGTTTGACAATTGTGATCTGAAAATCATTAATTATTGCATTTTTTTTTTGAAATAAGAAATGTGAAAATTTTAAAGTGATTCCTTAAAAATTATCGCCATCGTGCCAAAGTTTAAATTTTGCCCACGCAATTCAAAATGTTAACACCTGCCGGAAATTTCGGCAATTTTTAAACCACCCACTTTATCATCCATATTATGAATATCCATCATATCGAAAAGATGGTCGGCCCAATCAATCATGGCGATTAGTCGGCCATGAGCAATTCCTGGTAATTCTTCGGGAGTTATCTCGCGAAAAGCCTCATATCTCATCTACAAACCAATTCATTTTTCTCCGCTGACATTCAGTTTTCATCTCGCCAACCTCTGTGCGTTTCCCATCCAATAAAGTGGGATCGTCCAGCAACTTTCGAATTGAATCGAATGGAAGTGGGTAGATCTTCATCGGCTCCGTGTGCCCGTCACCACCGTCAACGATTAAATCGATATTCAATAGCTGCATTAGAGTCGTGCGCATGTCGACCGGCAGTTTTCGAGTCCATTCCGAGTCGACTTCCCCTTCATCATCGGCCGATAATTTCGATCGCCGCTGTCTTCCTTGATAGTGCCTTCCGGTGGCGTCTCGATCTGGTCGAACCGCTGACAAACATCAATTTAATCATCATAATCAAACAATAAATTATACCTTTTGGATCCATTCCAACTTCGATGCATTTTTTGAAGCGACAATACCTAAACTCTAAATCATAAATTGGTCTGATGAAGCGCTACGGATGATACCTGCAAGAGTTCCGCTCGTGCCGATCCACTACACAGTTGCCGTTGTGTCGGCATGTGTACTCCGTCGGCCTTTTTAGCCTGCAAATCGCGTTCGTATTTCCGGAAACGGATTGCCCATTAAACGACACATTTTTGAACGTGCGAAAGCGGTCACGAAAAAACAAGTTGGAACTGCCGGTTTTATGAGGAGATGATCAATTTGTTTGTGTGAAATTGCAACATTTTGATAATAAAAATGCGTGTTCTTCTCAAGTACAACAAATCCAGTCGGATTTTGACAAAAAGGACATTTTTAGAAAACAATTTTTTATAATTAAAATCGGCATTGGTTTTTGAATGGATATTTTGTTTTTTTTTTTTTATAAATTCTAACAAAATATGAGGGTCGTTATATAAACGATAAACCGATTTTGAAATGATAAAATTTAAACAAAATTTGAAAAAGATTTGATAATTTTCACATTTTTAATGCCGATTTTGGAGTTCTGAGATTTTCGCTTTTTTTTCCCAAAAATCTGTGTTATGCCAAAATCAATCACATCACTCCACTGTTGTTTTTCTTTGGTTCCTATCAAGGTCTAAAAATAGACCTAATTCGTGATTTATTTCATTTCAATAAACAATACTTCATTTATTTCGGTTTTCGTGATTAAATTTTGGTGCGAAAAATGGTTACTGTAGCTTTTTGAATATTCGTCGAGTATCCGCATCAGAAAACGTGTAAATGAGTGTGAGATTGTCTCAAATTTTTACTCGCCGTTTCCACAAATTCGCTCGTTTTCGAATTTAATTATTTAGAAATGAAAAACTCACGTTCTTCGAAAGAATCCCTTGCACCCAAAACACGTCACCACACCATAATGTGTTTTGGCGTTGCCATCTCCACAAACTTTACAGGATTCGCTAGATCCTCCTTCAAACAATTTGTTAATGCAATTTGCAGACAATTTTTTGAAGAAACGATACCTGAGATGTGTGCCAGTGAAGATTTTCGCGAAACCGAGGCCATATTTTCCAAACTCGATGTGTCAACTTTACCCATTTTCTGTGTATGCTCGTTACCGTACTATAATTGACGCTCTGGAAAAAAAAGAAATTTTGGTTAAACGGAAAAAATGTTTAGTACAGAGTTCAAAAAAATTTATCAAAAATTGTGGTCGGGCGGGCCTCCCTTGAATGACTAGTAGAGTGGGGGGGACGTCGACGACGACGACGACGACGACGAAAAAAAGGGAATATTGATAAGGATCTAGATTGATTGCATTGTAATATATGTTAGGATGATGATGATGACATTAGAGCGAAGATCTCACAGGTTGCGTACTGAATATCCTTTCGCGCCATCTACAAAGAAGAGTTCAAGGAAGCTGAATTCGTGTCATTCGGACAATGCGCGGTGCTAGAAGACAAGGAGACAAAAAATGATAATTTTTTAAACAATCTGACTCACATCAAAATTTATTGCAGGCCTGACCTTGGTGGGAAATGATCTTTTGATATCCCAACTTTTTTATTATTTTTTTTTCTCCGACATGGGAAATCTCTATGAGGCAAATAGGATGACCAAATAATTATTTGTTGGAATCTCCGCTATTGTTTCAACATTTTGGCCGTAATATAACTCGATTAGAATATGGTTTAGAGGAACACAAAAAGTACACTAGGCTTTTGCAAAGAGACAGATGAAGAATAAGTTATCAATTACAACGAACATCAAACATTCAAGTGCCGATTTTTAGTGTGACGCTTGCCCATATTTTTATTACCACTATGTAGGCCATAAACGAGCAAGACGTGCACAAGGTTCAAAGCGAAAACGAAATTGGCGTATCTGAGAAAAAAACTATTTAAAGATATCGGGAGATTTCCGGACCGGAAATGTTCCGATTCGATGATATCACTTTAGATGGATTAGTCTGAGAAGATTGCAATTCAAATCAAAGTTTTGTTTTTTCCAATTGTCAATTTTAATGGAACTCATTGAATGTATAAAGTTGAGAGAATTTTCAAGAGAATTTCAAGGAGAAAAGTTGACAACAAACTTGTTAGACTTAATTCGATGAAAATTCCAAAAAGTGATTGAATCGATGGGGATTGAACGAATATGGTAATGGATGAAATGGGAGATGAAGCGAGAAATTGAAGAAAATCGATCTAGAAACTTCGCCACCCAGCCGATTCTCCAATAAAACACAGGTTTGCAAAACACACACACACACACACACGTGGGTGTGTAGTTCAACGCAACAATCTGATCAAGGTGATACAAGGGGTTTCGAGAGTTGTCTAAAACAATGAAAATAAATAAATGCAAAGAAATAATCACGAGAATTTCAATTTCGTGTTGTGCGTTATCTTATCGACGATGATGATGAGACGAGCAACTCGCGGCGCTTTCTAGCAGAGCTTTTTTTTCTTTCTCGATGTATGTTTCTGGTTCGTTGTCGCTGCAAAAAGAACAACAAATGGCGGGCAAGTTGTCTAAACAAAAAATAACCTGAGAATCACCATTCGATAGGCTTCATTGGAAAGAAAGACTGACTAGAAACTAGATGCGCTGATAATGTGATCGCGTTTTTGGTGTGTTTTTCGCGGTCGCGCCGCTGAAACTTGCTGATGAGCCAAACCGACTATTCTTAATTACTTTATAATTACCCATGATTTGGGAGGCCACGTGAAAGTGAAAACGCGGAAAAAATGTTGAAGGGCGAGACGGTGAGAATGTTCACGTGGATGAGTCGACGTCAATTTTGGAGAATTGAGAAAACGGATCACATTTTTGAGATTGTCAACATGTCATGCGATTCGGAATTGGCAACGCTGACAAATTTTTGCAAATCATACGACGAATGCGGCAAAAGATGGCTCAATGATAAACATTAATTTATGGTATGAAACAGATGTTTGAAATAAGTCACGGGAGGAGCACTGCTCAAATGATTCCTCCTCCTCCTCTCTCTCTCTCTCTCTCTCTCTCTCTCTCGCTTTTTCTGCTGACGGTTTGCAGAAAATCAAAAGAATGCAGCCTTAATTTTGAATTTCGAAGACAAAACAATTGCCATATTATTTATGCGAAATTCTTTACGAAATGCCGCTTGCTAAAAGAGGCCTATAATTATGATAATAGGCTATTCTACAAGATAATGCGCCTTTAATTCGCTGACAGCAAAAAAAGCTGCTTGAATATGCGCATCGATGCGACGCTTGTAATTTAGAAGAACGAATAAGAAACGATCCAGATGTGCCAATCATTTGCCAGTTTTTAACAACCAAATTTTTGAAAACCCATAAAATTATGATATTTCCTTTTTTTAATGAAAAATTCGAAATGCTAGGAAGATTTTGTAAATCTAAAAATGCATTTTTTGGACCCTTTTTAAATTTTTTAAGTAGTTGAATAATAAAACAAAGTTGATTTTTCAATGCGCTGACGATACGAAAAGCAGTAAATGTGAATCTCGAATCTTTTCTTGCAGAAAAAGTTTTTTTTGAATCACTTCATCTATTATCAGTCAAATTCTATTTTTAACTTTTCCTATTATTGCATAATTCTTATGCAACGTACGCGTTTTTCCCACGAAAAAAAAATGCAAAAATTTAGTATTATAAACGAGCCTAAAACAAATACAAATATTCATGTTTCGTAAACATTTTACGATGAAATGCGAGGAGATATGAAAGGAATACAAGTCAGAAAATGGGCGATTTTTAAAAAATTTGATATTGGTGGGCGATTTGAAGATGAGCTCTTGATTTCGAGACGAGTTGTGTCAATATTTTGCGAATTTTATCGAAAAAATGAAGCGAAACGTTTTTTTTTCTGTGATTAAAAAATTGGCGCTGGTATGAGATGAAGGGACAACACATGAAAATGGGTTCAATTTTTGCCGAATGGGCGGCCGCATTGCGAATGTGATTTTCACGCGGACGACCGAATTCAATCCGATCATTGATATGTTTTAATGTCGATGAGAATGCAACCTATCAAGTTTAGCGGCGGGATAGATACACTATTTGGGTTATATTCATGATATTGTTCTTTAAACTAAATTCAATGATGGTGACAAGGTCGGCTGATTTGATTGTGTCGCACACACATAAAAAATCAGTTGAGACGAACCGCCGAAATTTTGAGAAAATATCGAATTCAAAAGGCTCCGAATTTGAAGGACCAATTTATTACGGCATTGCGACGTGTTTTGCAGCAGCGCAGGTGGTTTCGTCTTCTTTTTTTTTTTCAAAAAAATTTCGTAGCATTTTGCGGATGGTTCTCACGCACGCAGCCAATAGAAATTGTGGAATAGCCTAAGAAGGAAACGAAGGAAATTGTATCAAATGAAAATGGATTTTTTTTTGGTGAAAAAAAGAGAACTCGAAACACACAAAAAGAGAGAATGAATTCATTGGGTCCCCAAGCACACACACACACACACACACACACTCGCAAGAAACTCACACACACACAGCGAGGCTTAAAACATGTGAGGGACAAAAAAAACTCTCTCTCTCTCTCTCTTTCTTTCTCATTGCGCTCTCAAAATATTGTGAGCCGTGGCGAGAAGCGACAGCAGCGCAAAAAAAACACGGCGAAGAAAAATCGGAGACGCACAGGGGGTCCAAAATCCGACCGCCGGAGACACTAAACACATATTTTACTATTTCAAACTATATTAAAATGAAGCATATAGAACATAGAAAAAATTTCGTATATAAGAATTTGAATTTTAATTGGCTAATTAACTTTTTGCAAACGAATATAGGGGGTTCGATGCTATGGAAAATGGCAAAGATGTATGTAGAAGGACCTGCAAAGGGGACAATTCTGCCTAAAAGACTCTTTGTGATGGGAAAAAAATACAAAAAAGACTATTTCGAGAACAATAGAAAAGTAATGGGGCATCAAAGTTGTTATCAAACTATTACTACCTAATATGGAATATATGAGCCATTAAAGATAAGAGATTCCAATAATTTACTAGATGAGTTGTAAAAATCCAGAGATCGCCTTACGTGCAATTATGCATACAATCGGAGACTCGACCTCTCTGGATTGGCCAATTGATAAGACAGTTGTGATAAAATTAATCACGCAAATGTCTTTCCAAATCAATCAATCCACGAATTATCCACGTGGTCGAAAAATCTTTTTTTTTCGACCGAGTTATCCGCTCGTTGTAAATTATTCGATTTTCTTAATTAAAACTCATACGCACTCATCTGCGGACATTTTTGACGATTTCAAAAAGAAAATCATTTTAATAATAATTTTTGAAGGAATTTAGTTGATTTTATGTATTTGATAGTTTTTAAAATGTATAGTGCTGAATTTCGAATTTTTATTTACATTGGCACAAAAAATGGGAAATCGTTTAGCTATTATGATTCATGTTCGCTACTTCGAATGGGATTTTGATGTTTTGAATATGGAAAGAAATGAGAAATTTTAGCAATTCGTCTCTTTTAACAAACAAATTGAAAACACCCAACCAACTAATCAAAAAAAAATGTGATATTCTCACGGTTTTTATCAATTTCACAACCTGTTCGCCTAAAAACTAACCGAATACACATGCGATATCAACACTAGGACATTCTATTTTAGTCATCGAATGGACTTTTACCGGCCTGACTGACTAACTGATAACACCACGACGGATTCGATGGTGGGGGGTCGGCGAGTGGGGGCAAACACGGCGAGGGGTGCTGGGTCATCTACGAGATAGAACGGACCTTTATGATTGCGCAACCAGATTGTTTTCGGAATTCACTCATTTTTTTTTTGAATTTTTGTGGCAATTCGGATCGAATTCCACGTGGATTTTGGTATCATAACTTTAGATTTTTAAATCTGAAATATATTTTATAAAATACTTGAAAGAAGGAAAGGGTGAAACTGGCGCAAGCAGACTTATACGCACATTTCAATCATTCATTTTGTAGTGGACCCAAATTCGGTGTCCGACGACTGGGCGGTCGATTTCGGTAGCTTCGACACTTTCGCGTGGCGAGACCATGGCGAAAGAGGCACCCCGTAAATCTACC